GACGGCTGACGGCTGGCCGGGCACGTGATTGCAAATCTACGGATCAGGCGGGCCCCACTCCGCATCTCACACACACACACACCACACACACACCACACACACCACCACACACCCACACACCACACACCACACACACACACACCACACCACACACACAACACCCACACACACACCAACACACACCCACACCACACACACACACACACACACACACACACCACCCACACACACACACACACACCACACACCACACACACACACACACACACAAACACACACACACACAAGCACACACACACACACACACACACACACACACACACACACACACACACACACACACACACACACACACACACCACACCACACACACACACACACCACACACACCACACACACACACACCACACACACACACACACACAACACACACACACACACACACACAGCCACACACACACACACACACACACACACTACACACACACACACACACACACACACACACACACACCACACACACACATCCACACACACACACACACACACACCACACACACACCACATCACACACACACACACACACACACACACACACCACACACACACCACACACACACACCAACACACACACACACCCACACACACACCACACACACACACACACACACACACACACACCACACACACACACACACACACAACCACACACACACACACACACACACACACACACACACACACACACACACACACACACACAACGGACACACACCCACGACACACACCCACACACACACCACACACACACACACCACCACCACACACACCCACACACACACACACACAACACACACACACACACATTCCACAGCACATCTTGAATGAACCACAGCACACACACACACACACACACACACACATCACACACACACACACACACACACACACACACACATCAACACCCAGCACACCACCACACACACACACACACACACACACACACACACACACACACATACACATCACACACAACACACACCACACACACACACACACAACCCAACAACACACACACAACACACACACACACACACAGCACACCCACACACACACACACACACCCACACACACACACACGACACACACACACACCACATCCCCACACACACCACACACACACACACCACATTCACACACGACACCACACACACACACCACAACACACACACACCACACCACACACACCACACACACACACACACACACACGACTACACACACACACACACACACACACCACACACACAGCACACACACACCACACAGACACACACACACACACCACATCACACACACATCACACACACACACACACTCACACACACACACACACACACACACACACGACACACACACACACACACACACACACACACAACACACACCACACACACACACCACACACACACCACCACACCCACACACACAATCACACACCCACACACACACACACCAAACACACACAACACACCACACACACACACCACACAACACACACACACACACACACACACACACACAACACACACACACACACACACACACACGCGCCACGCGCACGCAGCACGCACGCCTATATTTGTCCTATATTTGTTTCAAGTCATACATAGTACATAGTGATATATATATATATATATATATATATATATATATATATATATATATATATATATATATATATATATATATATATATATATATATATATATATATATAGACTGAGACTGAGGCGGCGGCATCGCAGAGAGCGTAGGCAAGTGTTCCCAACAAACTAAGAGACCAGAAATGTCATTTGGTGAGGCAAGCAGAAGTGACTCAAACAACGCTAAACGTGCTTGACAAGGTTCTCACAACGGCGTGGAAATTACTGAACGAACACGTCACACACGAATTTTCGCAATAGGAAGCTGCTCTCATCACAAACGTCAGAGCTCTCTCTCGCTATTTATCGATAGCTCAACGCGCTTTCTGCGCTTCTGAGCCGGTTTCCTGCGAGGACGGAACTTCGCATCTCCATGGCGGTACTACGTCTCAGTATGTCATGTCGAGCTGGACCCCCAATGTTAGACTGGTCGTCCACAGTGTTGAACTTGGCTACCAGCACTTTTATCGGTTGTCTGAAACAATACATATTTTAACTTGTGTACTTTATCAGCTAATCCCAGTATTTGATCAGTTAGTTATGGTACCTTATCATTTGTTTAAAACGATACGAACTCAAGGTTTTGCGACAGAAGAAGTTCTAAATCGAGTATATATTTACATGTTTCCAAGACATGAAGCAAGGAGTTGTTGAAGTAGTTATTCTGGGACAAGATGTTCATATTCTTGTGGTGAGCTCAGGCACAAACTCGACATTTCAGACCAATGCAATTCAAAGCGACTGTTCGCAATTATGTGCCAGCGAGGGCTATACTTGTTTTACCTCTTGTACGGCTTAAGTCTTGTTTCTCAAAATGGTCACACATCGTCTTGTGTTACGTGAGTCACTTGTTGGTGCTATGGACGCTTTATCGCACGACCACCAAAAATTATCGATGACTGAAGATTCATCACAGACAAGTAAAAAATTTCATTTCACATAACGGTGACGCTTTTACGCCACATATCGTGGTGGTGATCAGTGGGCTATAAAAGGCGAAACTTTCGTCAATGAATTTTGCACGTGTGCACATTATGGGACTTAGACCCGCGAAGCTGGCGTTGGGCCTGGGCCTCGTGACATTATGGCCCTACTAACAGACGGTTTTAGAACACGGGCTTATATAACCCGGTGGAAACACTGCTTACCGGGGACTTCAGAATCAAAAAGGTTTACCCCGTACCAAAATCAAACGGAAGCCTGGAGTTGAGGCGCCGCATCATTTCAATACAGCATCGCAGACAGAAACCATGTGCTTAGTTTTACACAACTCATCACGGCACTGACGAGAATCGACGAAAACGTGCAAAATCTACATCGCTTGATTGCTGTAGACAGAAATCGTTCGTGCACACAATGCCGCCTCTGCCAGAGGACAAGATCGGGCAGGACAAGGCAACACAACTCGACGAATATTTGATTTTCAGTCTCCCTTTGATGTCAACGCATCCCGCGCTTCGCCTCCCCTTGACGTCGGCGCACCCCGTATAACCGCCTCCCCTGACGTCGCGCACCCCGTATACCGCCGCCCTTGAAAGCGACGCACCCCGTATACCGCCTTCCCTAGACATCGACGTCCCCCGTAGACCGCCTCCACCACGATGTAGCAACCGCACCATACTCATCAATGCCATGGTAACTGAACGGCAATCCCTGACCTATTATATTCCCTAGACTATGATAAGTCATGTGGCTCATCCGCCCTTCTTTCTTATTAATGCTTCATCCTGAATCTCACAGCCACTCACCTATCCGGGGCAAGCTGCTTCCATCAGCCCATAAACGGGCCTAAGTGTTCCCCTGGCTATAGCCACACCCGAACACCCGCACGTATCTCGAGAGGGGGTCCCCGCCCATGGCTACCTATCAGTAGTGAAGTACTCCAGATGCAGGCAGTGTTCCCGTAGCTGAACTGGATCAACAATCCAACCTTTACCATACCGCCCCCAAAAACAAACGTTCAGTCACCTGATCTCGTTCTTGCATGAGACCTTGCAACAAAGAAATTCGGGTATTAAGTAAAACAAAGCTAGGTTTGTAGGCCGACCACGGGCAGAAGGCAAATGTGGAGTGACATAAAAACCACAACAGACCGTTGAATCAGTGGAGTCGATGCCTTGACTAGGTTGTGGGGGAAAAAGTGTCTGAGCTCACGTTTCAGGGGCAAATCACATTTCAAATGGTTTGCCGCTATTATCTCAAGTTACCCCTCATCTGGGGCAACAGTTTTGGGGTTTCCGGGTCAAGTTATCACGCTGCACCATCCAAGACGACTCCACGTTACGCAGGCGGATCAAAGTCTTAAGTCCTTGCATGAAGGTCGGCTTTTTGCGCTTTACAATATCACAGCAAAAACAAAACAAAAAATGCCGGGGCCCAAGGCAGGGGGGGGGGGAGGCAACTCAACATAAGGGGCCGGGTCTCCCGCAAAATAATGCAAATCGACACCTGTTTCTGTCCTTTTTTTAAACTGTTGAGTAAACTATCGATTTAATTATGTTTCTCGCGCGAGGTATTTACCATGACAGCTGGAAAAGGCCATGCATGTACGTCCAATATAAGAACAGCACCCTCCTCAAGCGTAGCTAAGCACTGGCCAATAAGCTTACTTCCGTTTTTCGAACAAAAAATTCTGTCAAATCCATAAACGATAGACTAATCATTCATCTATCATTGTCCGACGAAGTAGTTATAAACCAGGTAACACACACCTGCAGCTGGAATAATTCACCGACATCCATCAACGCAACCACACCTTCGATGTCAAATGAAATTGAAATGATTCACTGTTAGATAAAAACAAGTGTCACGGTCAAGCTCTGTTGTAGGGCTATTTAATGTGATCCCAACACAACATAAGTCTAACCTGACCAAAGAAACTGCATCAGGGCCCCAACAAAATTTAACACACGAGCCTTTTGAAAACCGCGAAATAAAACTACAAATGATGGAAAATTATGAAATTCACTATGATTGCATTTAGAGAACGAAAAGAAAACCATCGAGGCCCTCAGATGCACGAATTTAAGCAGCGGCAGAAAACATGGAAGTTTAGTCGTCGCGTACCTTTTATAGCCTTGACCTCTGTGCGCTCTATCGATTTGAGATAAAGACCCGATGGCTAGCTTCATGACTGCGAGTTTTAGTCTTTACAATTTTGCATAAGAAAGCCTAAGATATCGAAAATCAAATCCGAACTCCGCAACCTGTGTTTGAATGTTCGTTCAGATTTTTATACTTAGTTTCGAGTCAACGAGCTTCATCACTACCATTTCCAATGACGCCATGTTGTAAAACTCCGTAGTAAGCTGGCCGTAGCCTTGAGGCGTAGTGCCGTGGGAGGTCAATGGGGGACGTGCTCGGTTGAAAAACCGCGCACGTGAAGGTCGAGGAGAGCAGGATATTTTCATTTAATTGTTAAATGTGGCCTTAAAACGGGTCGGGACAGGAAAAGCGAAATGTATCCGGTCGGACAACGTGAGTAAGCCTACTTGCCTTTGTCTTGGATGCCACCGTTCGTTGGCGTGCATGCCTAATAAACATAACACCTCCATGTCTCGTCCTCGTAGTGAAGTTTATTCGTGTGTGTGTGCCATGCTTTAGTATTTTTAAAAGTTTTCAATAAATCCAGTGCCCTTACAAGGTGTACTTAACTGGGCCCAGGTATTGCTGGCTCATTTAATCAAAATGAATTTCTGCTTAACTTTGCCATACAGAATGGATAATTCATTGGACTTAATTGATACCATTCTGATTGTTATTTGTGTATACAGACCAGTGTCAATGGTAAGACCAAGTAAAAGGCACAACATGGGGATGGATAGGTTGCATTTGGGTGAGCAAAATATGCACTTTGAAGGGCATCTGAACTAAGGGTATATAGGGTTATCAGTTGTACCTTGGAGAAGGTGTGAGGTATGGAGGAAGGTGATGTGTGAATAAAAATAATAGCACAGAACATAATGTTCTCTGTCAGGGATAATAAATTTGCTCTGTGCAGAGATAGCTTAAGATTAACAAAATCTACATTATCAATTCAACAAAACAAGTTAAAATGAAGCAAGCAGACCAAAAAATCACATATGCTGATCAGCTTGTAACCAGTGCATAAGATAGTTTTTTTGTGTATGGACTTCATTGTTTTCTATTTTACTTTTATTTTGTGGTAAGAATTCGTTAATGTACAAGTGTAATGCTGCAACTCACAGTTGCAATCAATTGGCTATTGGTTTGAGAGGCTAGCACAAGGCAGGCTGAGGCAAGTATGGTGCAAGCCAAAAGGAGTCATTAGTCCCCAGTTCTTCATCAATATGAGTTCAGGATTGTTATACTGGGACTTACAGGCCTTCAACATACAGAGGTGCTGGTGAAGCAACATTATCAAGCAAATGTTAGTTACATTGCCATGCTTTGGCAGGATATTGTACTAACCCACCCTATCTATTTGCTTATGAAAAATGACATCTGGTTCAGGTTTAAAAGCCATGGTGTGAGGGCAAGGCACCTATATCTAAGCAGCTTTGGTCAGGCAGCTTAGGTTGCACTGGTGCCACATCACCACTGTTTTGTGTCCCCATTTTATCAGCATGGAAATTACAGGCTTTAAACTCATAAGCTGGAGACCTCAAACCTGACAGAGTTCCAGATGTCAGTAACCATGTGTTGCAGTAATAGTTCACTGAGTGGTACAAACTGAATGAAATGAGTATGAACTAAATGGCATAGCATTATCAATTTAAAAGGGTACCAAATTTTAGCATGCCCATAAACTAAATGTCATTATGACATAAGTTATAAATAAAGAAGCATCCAAGATAACCTTTTCCAAAGCTAACCTCAAACATAACACACCGGGTTAAACCTAGACAGATTGGCTTGATTGCAATGCAGATGCATAATACCAAGTCAGCTATCAGTTGCTACCAATGTCCACCCAGGATATTAGTTTCCTTGGGAAACTCATGCTGCCATCACTGAAAGGAATGCTTTTTTGCAAGTAAATCTAATCAATTAGAATTGCAAAGATGTAGATAGGCTAAACCTTAACAATTTTTGGGTGGGTGGTATGGAACACTACTAAACATCACTGTGTCTGTGCAAATTTAATGCAAGTAAGTCATGCCAATCCTGTACATTTTCTATAAATATGGGTCCTCATGATGGGGACAGTCTCCACTTGCACATGTTTGTCATCATCTACATAGTGATAGAATATTCAAGTGGGGAAATTTTATTTGGGGAATATTGTTGACATCTGGATCAACTTGTAATGCATCATGGGTGTGGTTAGGCATACCTGATTATTGGTGGTCAGTAGGCCAGCACAGTCCCTACATGTAGCACCAGCATATCTGGCTGATGCCAGAGTTTGAATGGCCCAAATGGCCAGCACTCCCTACCATCTGAGCATAGCTGGCTTGAGGTGCTCACTTACAGCACCATGGTGTGTGTCTTTTTGTCTGGCAGCTGGTCAGCCTGGGCAGGTGGCGCAGCCCGGGCCTGGCTCGGTGGGACCGCCGACCGGAATGACGCCTGTCACGCTGCTGCAGGCAGCTGGAACCACCGCGGTCGCGCCAACCGCACCCCCTGCCCTCGTGGCCGACATCCCCTGTGAGTGGCCCCAGTGGCATGCACGCACTGGGCTCGGCAGTGCGGCACGCCGCCGCTCAGCTCGTTTCGTCTGAGGTGGCGCCAGTGGGCTTGGCTTCCTGCGCCTTGCCGTTGTACTGGAATCATTGTAGCGTTTACTGGAATTTGTTGTACTGGAATCTTGTAGAGCTGTTTTACTGGAATCCTGTTCATTTAGCATTAGTGTTTCACCTCATGTTCTGTGAGCTGCAATGGGTTGGAATGTCACCTGCGTCCTGAGCGAGTTCGGCTTCAACTCCTGCCCTTGAGGCCGGACACCCATGGCCGGTGGACTGGCGATCAGCTGAGGTGACGTCTCAGGCGCACCTGGCCGCCGCCGCCGCCGCGTCCACGCACCCCGGCTGGCGGTGGCTGCCCTGTCACGCGGTCTCGTCTGTAGGTGTGGCTGCCAATCTTCCAGTTTTCACGGCGCCGCGCCGGCCTAACCTGGGCCGCGAGGGCCGCATCATCCAGCTGAGGGCCAACCACTTCCAAATCTCGATGCCGCGCGGCTTCGTGCACCACTACGTCATCAGCATCCAGCCGGACAAGTGCCCGCGCAAGGTCAACAGGTGCGCATCCTGCGCGGTCGGCTGCGAGCTCCCCGAGTTGGCCGCCAGCACCGCTCTAGCGCCGCGGTGCTGTCGGCAGCTGTCACTGTGGTTCTGGCATGGGATGTGTTTGGGTCACTTATGTTGCCTTCAGCGCTGATAATGTTCTCTACAAACAGAGTTCCCTTCGCCAGCCAGTGCTCTGCTGGGCCTTTGACTGATGTCTTTTTTCATATAAGCTCTCCTTCGGGTTAATTGGGATGTCGAGTTTATGAATGAATTCGAAGTCCTTCAGCCTAGCGCCCGCCTGTTGCCAGAGACATCATCGAGACGATGGTCACATCGTATGCCAAGATCTTCAGCACGATGAAGCCGGTATTCGACGGCCGGAGCAGCATGTACACGCGCGATCCGCTGCCCATCGGCAAGGAAAAGGTGGACCTGGAGGTGACGCTGCCCGGCGAGGGCAAGGATCGCGTCTTCCACGTTTCGATCCGCTGGGAGGCGCAGGTGTCGCTGTACCAGCTGGAGGAGGCGCTGGAGGGTCGCCAGCGCGCCATCCCTCCCGAAGCCGTCCAGGCACTGGACGTGGTCATGCGTCACCTGCCGTCCATGAAGTACACGCCAGTGGGCCGCTCGTTCTTCTCGGCGCCCGAGGGCTACTACCACCCGCTGGGCGGTGGCCGCGAGGTGTGGTTCGGCTTCCACCAGTCGGTCCGGCCCAGCCAGTGGAAGATGATGCTCAACATTGACGGTCAGTGGGCGCTGCACTGGCTGCGAGTGGCGAACGTAGGCGTTGTATTGTCGTGGGCTGAGGACCTTGGAAGTGCCTGGGGGAATGGCACAGCTGTTATTTCGTTACCGACACTAACGTATGTTAAAATGGGCACAACAATTTTGTAGCATTTGGAGACCATGCTTTTTTTGGTGAAGCACGCAGTCCACCTTCATCCACATTTTAACGTGATTGTGCACACCAAGATCAATGGATGTTTACTGAGGAACCGGAACCATAAGCGAACTCCGTGCGTGTGGTGTGTTTTGTCGATGTGCCTAACGGGATTCCGTTCCAGTGTCTGCCACGGCCTTCTACAAGTCTCAGGCAGTGATCGAGTTCATGTGCGAGGTGCTCGACATCCGCGAGGTCAGCGAGCAGCGCAAGCCGCTCACCGACTCGCAGCGCGTCAAGTTCACCAAGGAGATCCGCGGCCTCAAGATCGAGATCACGCACTGCGGCTCCATGCGGCGCAAGTACCGTGTCTGCAACGTCACGCGCCGGCCGGCGCAGATGCAGTCGTGAGTCACGGAGGCGGCCGGCGGGCGGCGCGCGCAGACAGGCACGGGCCTCTCTCCTGGGGACCACCAGTCCGACGCTGCAGGGCCGCGACCGCAGCTGGTGTGGTTGTGTGTGTTGTAGTTGTGGAATGATGTGGGTCACTGCTGATGAGATTGTAGATATGCGCTTCTGGTGTGCGGTGCTCTGTGCCAGGGGATTACTTCTATGAGCTTTGTTCTTTCGCAGTGTGATAAGCGACATCGAACCCTACGCGGCTAATCGCGTCTCCCAGCTTGTGTCCACCTTGCGCATGATGGGTTGACCCCCAGCTTCATACAGTGCCCGCGTCCGGTACCTGCCACGTCACTGGGACACTGGGCTGTCGCAGGTTCCCGCTGCAGCTGGAGAACGGCCAGACGGTGGAGTGCACGGTGGCCAAGTACTTCCTGGACAAATACCGGATGAAGCTGCGCTTCCCTCACCTGCCCTGCTTGCAGGTTGGCCAGGAGCACAAGCACACCTACTTGCCACTAGAGGTCAGTGCGGGTCGCGCCCAGTGCCTTCTATGCCCGGAATTTGGGGTCTCGAGTTGACTGTCCTTTGCTGGAGGAGCGTTGTGTAAGAACATGATACCACAAGGTCAATTGCCATGACATTTTGAATTTAGGGATGAATGGAGATGTACTATGTATTTCAACACATCATGACCTGCCCCTTGGCATCGTGCCCCGTCCCTTTAGCTGTGTTGTTGGCAAGTGCTGATCATAAAGAGTACCTTTTTTACTTCTGCTTTTTACCTTCTGCTCCACCTGATTTTTTAAATCGTGAAGTGTCAGTGTTTTATTTATTGTGAAATCGCGTCGCATTTAAATGTCGCGCATAACATGAAAGCCTGGCATGCATGATCCGGTCGTTTCGTGAGCGATGCAGCGCACGCCCGGTCTCTGCTCGTCTCCGGTGCGACCCTCCGATAGTGGTGCGTGCATCACGTCTGGTTGCCGCCGATCCCGACAGGTGTGCACGATCGTGGCCGGCCAGCGCTGCATCAAGAAGCTGACCGACATGCAGACGTCCACCATGATCAAGGCGACGGCGCGCTCGGCGCCGGACCGCGAGCGCGAGATCAACACGCTCATCCGCAAGGTGTGGGCCGACTTCAACACGGACCCGTACGTGCAGGAGTTCGGCCTCAACATCGAGCAGAAGATGATGGACGTGCGCGGCCGCGTGCTGCCGCCGCCCCGGCTCCAGTACGGCGGACGGGTGAGTGGCCGGCGATGCTGGCGAGGCCGACTAGCGCCGCGCCCCCGCCCCGTGATGTGGTCATGTTTTCGTGTGTTTTTTGGTAGGATAATACTGGTGATGCTGATAGATATGATATTGCTGGCGTGCTCACGTACAGTTATGATGTGATTGGAACGACCAAAATAATGTAATTGTGCTTGGCTTGGAATAAAAGCATGGTTCGCCTTGGAACTGGGCAAGACGATCTGGGACTTGCTGATAACCTCCGGATGGCTCGGTCCGCCTCGCCGCCGCCATCGTTCTCGCCTACGTTCGCCGCTCCGACCGAGCGCGCCGCCCGCCGCAGACGAAGCAGCAGGCGGTGCCGAACGGCGGCGTCTGGGACATGCGCGGCAAGCAGTTCTACAGCGGCGTCGAGATCCGCGTCTGGGCCATCGCCTGCTTCGCGCCGCAGCGCACCGTCAGCGAGAACGCGCTGCGCAACTTCACACAGCAGCTGCAGAAGATCTCCACCGACGCCGGCATGCCCATCATCGGACAGGTGAGGCTGCAGGACGGGCGGCTGGTGTGACTGGCCGCGGCGGCGCCAGTCACAGGGCGGCGCCGGTGTGGCTGGCCTGCTGATCGGCAGCCGACCATGGTCCTCAGTAGGTGTTGGGTTGTGTCGGTGACGCGCGTGGGGCTGCCTTTTCTGAAGCTCTGCGACGGTGTGAGTGTTGGGGAAGGGAAGGGGGGTGGGGGGTTGGGGCTCGAGTTCGGCCTTCACGGGACTGATTGGTGTGACAGTGATCGCTGTTCACTGCTGCTCTGACGGACCCACTCTTGATAATAGCGAACAAGATATCACATTGATTTGAAGCCAGGTGAGCTGTATGCAACGCATATTTCACCAGCACGCGCATTGTGAGACATGGACGCGTTTACTCGCGAGGCGCTGCTCTGGGCTGAGGACGCGAATAACACCGGAGCACCAGTAGGCCATCAGCGGCGCGTGCGCCGACCCGTCCAAGTGATGCCGCCTGGACGCAGCCGATGAGCGCTGTTTGTGCCGCTCTGCTGACGCCGTGCCTCGTCGCTCTGTTCGGCAGCCGTGCTTCTGCAAGTACGCCACCGGCCCAGATCAGGTGCAGCCCATGTTCAGTTACCTGAAGAACAACTTCCAGGGCCTGCAGCTGGTGGTGGTGGTGCTGCCTGGCAAGACGCCCGTCTACGGTAGGCGGCACGTTACCGGCCATGGGCATTCTGTCAAGTGCCGACATGTCTTGTACCAGCAACGTCTCAGCTTCTGGTGGGGTTTAGCAGTTGAGATGTCCTGGTCGGATCAGGTGTAGCACACTGCTGGAGTAGTTAGCACATGGCCGGACCAGATGTGACGTACGGCAGGGCGGGTTTCATTGATGCATTGATGCTAGATGCAGAGTACATCTTTATGAACCTCTCGGGCTGGATGTGATGCACTGCGGGATGAAGCGGGGCTACAGAGTGACAAGATGGAACTTAAAGGGCGGGTGGCTGATATAAGCCAGTGCGCGAGCTGCCGGAAAGGCTCAGCAGCTGACCCGCCGTCGGCGTCAGTGCGGCCTCGTGCCGCCCGCTGCTACGTGTGTAATCCGGGAGCGGCTCAGCAGCTGACCCGCCGTCGGCGTCAGTGCGGCCCCGTGCCGCCGCCCGCTCCGGATGGGCTGGCCCAGAAGCCTGCCGGGCGTCCGCAGCGCGGGGGCGCGGTATCAGGGTGGGACCGTTAGTCTGGCCGCGCTAACTCACTCTCTGCTGAGGAGTCGCGTGGGGCAGGATCCGAACCGGGTCGCGGGAGGCGCGCAGACCGGTGATGCAGGCGGCTCATGGCACACCTTGCTCCTTGGCCGGAGCTGGCGCGCCATGGTGTGGGGACGGGCCTAATGTGTCATGTTAATGCGGCGTGGCTTTGTGCCATGGAGGGTGGTCGCTACTGGAGCCGGGTACGCTGCCCATCTCACACCTACGTCTTTGCCCCGGCAGCCGAGGTGAAGCGAGTGGGAGACACGGTGCTGGGTCTCGCCACCCAGTGCGTGCAGGCCAAGAACGTGAACAAGACGTCACCGCAGACGCTCTCCAACCTCTGCCTCAAGATCAACGTCAAACTGGGTGGCGTCAACAGCATCCTAGTGCCCAGCATCCGACCCAAGGTCAGCGGCCACCGGGGTAAAGGGGCCGAAAGCCCTTTCGTCTCATCTCGCTGGAATTTCCATGTGTTCAGTGCTGGGCTGCCTGCAGCTATAGGAAAAATATTATACCATGCTTAAAGGTACACAACCATCACAGCTGCATGGTGCAGCCTTCATTAGCTGATTGGCCCCAGGCGTCAGCTTAGAAGTCATGTCTTGTGGTGGTGGAGACGCTCTGCAGTTTGTAGCCAGGGCGAGCCGATTGAATGCCGAGGTGCGCTCTAGTTGTCAACTGGCCGTCAGTGTCACGTGCCTGGGCTGTAGTGGTCCAAAATGGATCCAGCTGGGTATGCAGGATGTAAATGCAAAACGTTTCTATCAAGATTCCTACTCGCCGGCGGCCTCCACGCGCACGTTTCATTGGCTGCTAGTTCGTTGGCCTTTAACCTCGAACCATGGCCTCCAACCTGCCCGGCCGATCTGCCGAGCTCAGCCGCCGAGGCGTTGGGTTGGCTGCTGTCCGGTTCGGTGCTGATTGGACGCCTTTGGCGGTGGGGGTGGGGGCACAACCGGACAGTGGACCTAGACCCGGAAGTGCGATAGCGTCGCAAGGTATCGGAATCCTTGCCACACAGGCGGCCGAGTATGACCACACCTCGGGACCGCAGTTACGGTGGTGGCGCGTGACTGCCTCGACAGCTGACCGTTCCTCCCTCTGCCCGCGTAACGTTGCCACCGGCGCCGCGGTCTGCTGGGCGTGTGGGCCCGGCTGTCCGCCTCGTTGTCACGTGGGCGCCCGGCAGGTGTTCAACGAGCCGGTGATCTTCCTGGGCGCCGACGTGACGCACCCGCCGGCCGGCGACAACAAGAAGCCGTCGATCGCGGCCGTGGTCGGCTCGATGGACGGCCACCCGTCCCGGTACGCGGCCACCGTGCGCGTCCAGCAGCACCGCCAGGTTAGTCGGCGCGCCGCCCCGAGCCACGCTCGCGCCCGGTCCGTCCAGCGCCGCCGCTCGACCGTCGAGAATTCAACCGCGGGCTCTGGGTTGATACGGGCAAATTTGGAGTCTGCTCATGTTGAGTTGATTTATATAAGTAGTTTGGTACATGGAGGGGAGGAGCTCTGACATGATTGCCGACATCGTAATCAAAGCAGAGATGATCATGTCCGCCAAAAATGGCATTTTAGCCGTTGTAGAATGTCCGCTTTTGTTATCTTTTCTGTTGTTTGACATGTCAAATGGCGTTAGCGTAGCGTGTTTTTTTGTATCATCCTGCTCTCGTCGCAGTAAGTGGCGTCTCCTGTCTTGGTCATGTTTCCCTATGTGGCGATTTGGTCCCTGGCTGGTGCTATATGTCATCGGCTGGCCGACATGTGACGAAGCACGTGCGGCTAGTTGGCGAAGTGATGACTCAATGGCACATTTCGGCGGCGTTGCTTTCGTCTGCGATGGATGCCGCACTGGGACCGTGCTGACGCCTTGTCTCGTTGTACACAGGAGATAATCCAGGAGCTGAGCTACATGGTGCGCGAACTGCTCGTGCAGTTCTTCAAATCGACCCGCTTCAAGCCCAACCGGATCATCATGTACCGGGACGGCGTGTCCGAGGGCCAGTTCCAGCCGGTGCTGCAGCACGAGCTGACGGCCATCCGCGAGGCCTGCATGAAGCTGGAGCTCGACTACAAGCCGGGCATCACGTTCATCGTGGTGCAGAAGCGCCACCACACGCGCCTCTTTTGCTCCGACAAGAAGGAGCAGAGCGGCAAGAGCGGCAACATTCCGGCCGGCACCACCGTCGACTCTCACATCACGCATCCGACCGAGTTCGACTTCTACCTCTGCTCTCACCAGGGCATCCAGGTGGGTGTGACGCCGACGAAGTGCCGGCGCGCCCGCCGCTCAGCCCCGGGCTGCCCCGTCGGCAGTCCGGTAAAGCGTGGGCCACAGCGAGCCGACCGGCGGCTGGCCTCCCGGCCGAGACACGTGGCCAGCAGGCGGCCGGTCGCCGGCACAGACGCGGGACCGGGGCGCGCGCGCCGCGTCCGAGGACGGTGGCGGTGGCAGCTGCGGGTTGAGGCGCGCCACCGCCGCCGCTTGATGCCGACACACTTCGGTGCCTCGACTGGACTTTGTCTTTGGACGTCTGGCTGTTGACTTTGAACGGCGCTGGGCCACGGTCTGTGCGCTGTGTAGTTCCTGAGTGGTGTGGCGTGGCTTGTGCTCGCTGCCCGGCGTGTGTGTCTGTCGGTGCGTGAGTTGGCGCGCCTGGGTCGTCACCTGGTCCGGCTCGGGGCCGCTGACGGCTCTCTCCCTCTCACCGACGGCAGGGCACATCGCGTCCCAGTCACTACCACGTGCTGTGGGACGACAACCGGTTCGACTCTGACGAACTGCAGCAGCTGACCTACCAACTGTGCCACACATACGTGCGCTGTACCCGCTCCGTCAGCATCCCGGCGCCGGCTTACTACGCCCACCTCGTGGCCTTCCGCGCGCGGCACCACCTCGTGGAGAAGGAGCACGACAGGTGAGTGGCTCCGCTATCCCGACCGGACGGCTTCGGAACGGCCCGGTCAGCGCTGGGGCCGCGGCGTGTTACTGTCTGGTGGTGCGGGGCTCATGGGGCTGCCTGCAATGCGAGGATTTAGACTGGTGGTTTGGTGCTCCCAGAGCCTGAAACGGGTATTGGTGGGTGTGGAGTGGGGAGTGGTGTATCTCTGAACATCTCTCCAAATCCTCTCGACGTGGACGTCGCGGTGTTTTGATGGCGGCAAATTGACCTCGTCCGCATCAGCGATGGCGCGTTTCCCCGGGATGGGGTGAGCAGGGCCGGGGTGTCCGCGACACGCCCGCCTCCCCTTCGCGCGTGGCGTCATCGGCGGCGAGTGATGAAGCCTGTCGACCGGCGTTTCAGCGACCCGACGTACCACTCGTCATGCTCGGGTGAGGGCTCGCACCTGTCGGGCAACTCGGACGACCGCACGCCGTCGGCCATGGCGCGCGCCGTCACCGTCCACCAGGACACCAACCAGGTCATGTACTTCGCCTGAGCGCCGTCGCCGCCGCCGCCGCCGCCGTGCAGAAGACGCTGGAGCTGCGGGGGAGCCCGTGAAGCCGGGTGACGGCTGGTGTCGGCCGCGCGAAGTGACCCGTGTCGGTGTCCTGTGGGCGGGGAGGGCTTACTGGCCGTGGCGTGAGCGACGGTACCCCGTGGAGGTCGCGCTCAGTCAGCAAATCTTACGCTTTCGACTTTTTAGACGTGACGACTTTGCAGTGTACGTTTCTTGTTGTGTGACTAAAATCGCATCGATCGCCGGGCAGGGTGATGCCGCGTCACGCGCCGCTAGTCATGCCACCCGTGGCGGGCGTGGCCCGGCGTCCCGGCACTGCCACTGCCCGGCGTCCCGCCGCCCCACGGTGGGCCACTTCCGTGCGCCAACTTCCGCCTCGGCGCGTGCCTGCGCCCGTGTGTGTCTGTGTCCGTATGCCGGCGTGGTGTGCGTGCGTGGGCGGTGTTGGGCGCACGGCCGGCGCCCTGCGGGACGTCGCGACCGACGCCCGGCGGCCGCGGGCCGACATCTCGTCGAACCATGGCTTTACCGGCCCAGCGGGCCGCGTCCAGCGCCGCCGCGTGTCGTATTTATGTAACCAGGGCTCAACGGCGGCGCGCCACCTCCCGTCCCGCGCACCTCGCGCCTTTCTCCTAAGCTTCTCCACCTCACACGCGCAAGCTCCGGGGGCAGGCCGCCAGCCGGCCCGCGCGGGCGGCCGGGTGTTTTGTGCTTCTATCCATTCCGTGTCTGACGCCTGTCGCCCGCTATTTGTCCGCCCCGCGCGCCGTACGGCCGCCGCCGCCGGCCCCTCGCCGGGTCAGACGTCCGGACTGGGACCGCACACCACACCATAGCCTTTCGATGGGAAGTGTACGCTCTTACTGCCAACGTCCGGCTTCTGACCTGGCTTCCCAACTCGCTCCCTCTCTTTCTCTGTACTTTGTAGCTTTTCCCCTCCTGCTTTGCCCACCCACTGTGCTCCACTCGATTGCCTCCGGTTGGCGTTTGCACGTGGCGCGTCGCCTGTTGCTGCAGTACCCTCCGCTGCCGACACCTCCGCCGGATCTTGCAGCCAACACTGATACCATAATGGGATAGCACGTTGTGCGTTTGATCTTTCTGTGGGCGCCAGTAGGCTTTGCCATTTCGGTCGGCTCTGGGGTTTCATGGCGAACCAAAGACGGGACTCTTCCCGCGTTTTGTACGGTATGCTTTGGGCCTTTTCGTAAGATATGGACGTTGGATGCTGCTGGGGTGAGTGTTATACATAATGTGCGCGTTTTTAATACGAACTATACGCCCTGCCATTCTGCTAACAATGGGTCTGGCTTTCCTTTTGGGAGCGTAGGAGCATCGCTCGTTGTCGCTATGTCCATGGGTGTCGTTCCGGCTTTGGCGCGACCGCGCTGTACGTAGGACCATTTTTAGCATTGATTAGCATTGACTGCGGTGTGGCGGCCGCGGCCAGCCACTGTCAGTGTGTGTGTAGAGCATCTGATTGGCTGACATGCGCGCCGCTCGTGTCGCGAGCTTTGTCGTGGGCCGCCGCCACAACACTGCGTGCGTGTGAGGGTGTGTGTAGTGGTTGTTGTTTAGTTGCGTATCTGGCGCGCCGGCGGGCGGAAAGCCGCGCCGCGCCGGACTGTCCGCGTTATGCGCCGTCCGTCGACACCACAACGTACCTGTACAGAGTGCGGCCGCTGTCCTCTGCCGCCGCCGCCGCCAATCGCGTACCGAGGGTTGCGAGCGCCGCGGCGCCGACGGCGCGTGTGTGAGCTGCGCCCCAGCCGGCGGCGCCGCTGCGTCTCGCTCGTAGTGGCCTGTGTGGGCCGGCGCGGCGTAGTGCGCGTGTCTGGTGCGCGCCCCGGCAGCCCGGCAGACGCTCGCCGCCGTCGAGCCGCGGACATATCAGCAGCCGTCTCAGCACATATCCTGCAGTAATATCTCGCCCGCCGCGAGAGAAAGGCAATAGTTGTTTCGGTCGGCAGGCGGGCCGTTCCGGCAGACGCCGGACGCCGGCCGGCCGGCCGCAGTCCACGCCAGTCCCGACCTGTTCCGATCTCATTGACATATCGCTGGACGGCGCCCTGAGACGGTGCGTGGAGAGGCGGCCGTTGTTCCGGCCAGCGGCTGCCGGGGCCAGCACGGTAGAGTGGCACTCGCTGTAGTCCAGCTCAATAAACGGCATAGAGCCGAGTCTTATCTGTTTTGGGCAGTATCGCGCACTGCGGTGCCATGTGACCTGACGGGTAAGCCGGCTACTGGGGTGCTGGACGATCAGGCCTTGTCCCAATTGGGTGACGTGAGCCGTCCGTGTAAGGCGCCTACGCTCTAGGACGTCCGGGCCACACGCTTGGTATGCGGTTAACGGTAAGGGCATCGTCGAAGTCTGATTGATGACGATGCGACCCAGTCGGGGTGCAACACCGGGCACTGGTGGGCATCGAACATCCTGCGTCACACGCGGATGCATGGGAAGGACTAATGGCATACACCCGACTATTGGTGGCTGGCCACTGCAATAGCAGGAGGGCTCCAGGCAGCAAAATGCAAACAAGCCGTCAAGCCGGGATTTTACGGAGCAGTGAATCGGGGGGAGGAACAGGGTGTGGGTTAACTGTAGGCGTCATAATTTGGTCTATAAAATGCATACGGGGACACATGGTCCGTTTTTACAGCACACACTTGGTCACATGTTAAACTGCCTGACGGTCAACATGTTTTCAATATGTGAGGCTGGATATGGGCGGGCAAAATTCGCGTCATTAATGACTCCTGGTCTCGGTACTTGCGACTCGTGACTTTTGAAGGCGTGCGTCGGATTACGTAGTACGCTTACATTACGCGCTTTGGCATGCTTGGCGTTTGGAGCACTTGCCATTGCTATCTCTCAATTGCCATGTACTATCTGTTCTCGTTAGATCGGGATTTGGGCACACTCGTGCAGAAAAATGAGCTCGCAATTTATCAATCTTTTTAGTTTCTCATAAGTTAACGCGCTCAGGTGGGGGGCTTAATTCACCCCCCCCCCCCGAAGGTTTTTCCAGAATGGTTTCCGAGCGGCGCGGTGCAGCCGCGCCAAATTTTGCATAGATGTAGACAATTGAATAGCGGATTGTTTGGCGTAAAAATTACGTGCACATTGTAAGGTCGCTGACCTATGGTAGGCCAAAGACAGGCCATGGTTTCAGGGAAGGTAATTTCTGGAGAATCGTTCAATCTGACACAACAACGGAGTGTTTGACGAAGCCATACATCTATGAGATGCTTTCATAGGCACCACAAATATTGAATGAGAAAATTACGTTGACCTATGGCCAGGTATGAAGGTCAGACTAAGGTCAAAACCAACCCGATTTACTACTTTAGGGCTTGCTGTATGGGATTATTTCTGGTGCTCATTTCCCCAAATGATCGAATGTGCCCGAGCAGGTTAACACGCATCCGAGTGGCCAGCTAGATACCCTTTGCTCGGGTGGGGGTCAATTTGACCCCTCTGAGATCTCGAGAACTAAGAAAGATAGAGACACCAAATTTCCAGGGCCTGGAAACCTGTACGTGAATTACCTTCGTTCAAAGTTTGAGGTTCCTAGGTCATGACCTTTGGGTCAAATAAGGTCAAACGAGGTCATCTTCCAGGTTGGTCTCCAAAGTGCCCCCAGAACTTAGACAACTGTTTTTAAGCAAAATATCATGCTCGTTCAACGTCAGTGACCTTGTTCGACCTTTTGGAGGTCATGGTGACAAAATCACACAAGATCGCTCGGAGTTTTGCATTTGAATAAGCGACAAAGATTAGGCTGGGCAGTGCGTTTCTAAAAACAAAACGTTGAACTGGGTCATTTCAGGTCAGTGACGCATTGTGACCTCTAAGAACTCCATGGATGATGTACAATGCGGTTCCTGCCATCAATAAATTCGAAGTAAGCACCAGAAACTATCCCATACAGTAAGCCCTAGAGCAAAAATACAAGTTGATTTTGACCATGGCCTGGCCTTTATATCTGACCTCGGGTCAACGTCATTTGCTCATTCAATATTTGTGTCACCCATGTGAGATATGGGCCACCACTTTTTCCCTGGCAGAAATTGAAAAGCTTGCCAGATATTGTCCCATTTTACAGGTAAATTTGCTATCCTGAACTAAAATGACGCGCTCTGCATTTACGCCTTACGGGGCTCACACCTCACTGCCTCCATTAGGGCAAGCCAGCCCTGCGTCGACCCCTCCAACGTCCCTTGTAAGGCTACAAGAAGTGCATTCCAACATCTCCATGCGCGTCCCAGGGTGCTGCAAGCCCGCCTGGGCCGCCGGTTCTCATCTCCGCCCTACACTGCTGTTGTATGCTGCTCTCTTTTACACAGACTGTTTCTAAGCACTTCTTGCTAGAGTTCTCCGGGATAAATCACTGGCGAATGGGTTACCCCGTCCCTTTGTCAGGGGCAGACTGGTAGCGCATTTCAGCAATAAGTGCGTAGCTCTGGTGCAAATCAACGCATTTCACTGGTGAAAATCTTTTTTTGAGTGTCCTAGTTCTTAAAAAATTCAGTTTATGCAAATATTTATGCTAAAGCAAGCCCGCAAAAACGTTTTCACGAGGCCGTGGCATTGGTACCATATGACTTAGTCCCGGGATGACGTCATAGCATCGCTACCCAGAATGCAGTAATGCGGGGGGGGGGGGGGGCTTGTGCGCAACGAAGAGCGTTAAGGACTGCACACAACAACTAAGCGAGCTTTCAGTGGGCAGCTAATGCCGTGGAATTAGCTGAGGTGTTGGAGAATTCTTCAGAATAATGTCCAGTACTGCCAACACGAATGATTACCGCAAATACTGATTAATGCCGAGGGTGAATTCCAGATAATGTTTCGAACATGGTCAATATGATTTTGTTCACCATGCTTATCTCTGGCCGCTCGCTATGCATGACGCATGTGAGACAGAACTGGACGATGATTTCCAGGCCTGCCGAACGTAAATAGAGGATCTTTATGCATGATCATCACAAAAATAGTTGCATAAATTCCCTCAGCCGAACGTACCCTGGATAGCAACACGAAGTAACAACAAATGTCGGGCGTTCCCGGCATTTTTGGGGTTCCGTTGAACAACTTTGACCTGTGCCCCTCTTATCACCAAATACCGCGCACACCCTGCACCTCTGTCTATTATGCACATCTGCATCAATTTATGCGAAAAAATCACTCCGATCATTCCTGATCATTCATGGTCATTTCTCGGCCACGTTCGTCGAACGCACCCTTATTTGAAGCCGTAAATGGCGCCTCTGTTGCAAAATACGGCTTGTTAAGTCCGTTGCACCACTGCGCGGTTCGTCCAGGAAGTTTGTGTCCGTGCCATTACCTTAGGGCCTTAGTTTCTAGGCCTTTGACCATTTCCACTGTGGGTGCAGCGTTGCAGTTTGCAATCTCCCGTATTTGTACATGTGATGCATTATTATGACTGTTTGCACTCTGTCCGTAGTAGATGCCGGTCGAATCAGTCGAGCATTTGCACCATCCATGGGGGATGGGGGACAACGACGTTCATTGACAATAGTCTTGTATCCCTTTGAATGTATTTTTAGCCTGGTATATGTGTTAGGAGGAAAAGTTGTAGACCTGTCCCAGTTTCAGTGTTGTTTTTGATGATTTACTGAAAGTCAGTACAATTTTGTGTGTTGCGTGCTGTTTTTCTACTTTGGTCACTAAACCTTCCCTTTACTCTTGTCACCCCATAAAAATGCTCCTTGCTGAGTGTTGCACCATTATGGTTAGAATGTGCCCCAAGCTGGTGTATCTGCTTGCGAAGCGCCAATTCCAGTCTTGTCTCAAGAATATCATTTTCACCCTCATCTGACTGTTTTTTTTCTTGAAGCATGTTTATGACCTGACTTATCATGCAAACAAAGGGTGTGGAAATGGCCACATGTGTAATGAGAATATATTTATGGCATAAGCATAGCTTTGAAAAGTCTGTGCTGCTAATGTTTCCCTGTTGCAGGAAAAGAGTAGCCACAAGTGTAAGGGCTGCATAACTGCAAGTTTTCAAGGATTTCAATGGCAGAGTTGAACCCTCTCAGCATAATTTTGGTAGAAAATGGCAGCAAGGGAGATCGCCTTCTGTTCCGCTATCCCTATGCAGATGAGCCAACTGCCCAGGTGACAAAAAGTAAGGCATGCAACATTCTTTGCTTCGCTTCTTATCATGCTATGCATTTTATTTTCTTCTTCAAAGTTAGGTAACAGAAACACCAGTTTATGATTTAAGGCAATTAATGAAATGGCAGGACTTGTGCTCACCTGAAATGTATGAAATGTTGAGAAAAATCATACAAATGTTGAAATGTCACAACTTTGTATCTTCTCTTGTAGTCACTGCAAACAATTCCTGTTCAAATCCCTGCAAAAGTTATATTAGATGTAGTTAAGTTAGAAGTAGTTAAGTAGTTAAATAGCTATGCCATGTTCAGTTGTGGGTAGATTACATATTCAAATGTTCCACCTTATGGCATTGTTGTAAAGCAGGGGCACATCTGCATTGCATTATATTGCATATGCTGCCAAAATGTTGCCATTTCAGGAGCACAGGGGGTGGCAAGACAAGGTCCACAGGTGATCTGTAAGAAGTATGCCACAGCAAATTGTTATGCTCAGATGCACTGTCAGATTGCTGCCCCCAAAACCTGACATTTGGCTAAAAAATATTCTGATCATCAAACAATTTGAACAGTTATTTACCATTTCACAAGAATGCTTCATATTGTTAGTAGCCAGTGTAAAGGTATGGAAAGAGAGCAGCATGCTCATGCTGGTTTTATTGCTGAAATAATGCATGCTCACAGATAACCATTGACATTCTCGCATTGAAATAGTTGTCGTGGGTGGGCTGAGTAATTGGGCTAGGTGGAGAGATCTGATGCAAGGATCAATCTAGCACTTAATTTTGCCTTATCAGGGATATTATGAAACATTGGTTTGGCTTGATTTTGCAGTCTATGATGGAGGGAAACAAAAGGTCATTCCAGGACCAGGCACTAATGCTCTGTTGGACAAGCTAGGTGATAACATGTGAGTTATCCATGAATGACACATGATAATGGCAAAACATGAGGTCATCAAGCTGGAAATCTTGTGAGCCCATATTGAGGGGCTTACTCAAGCCACTGAAGCTCAGTATTTGATGGAAATTTTGTAGACTAAGGTTCAATAATGTAGCATGCAGAATTTTTCATTCTGATAGCTCAGTCTGCCTTCTGATCCTTTCACAGTGGTGGGTAGGTTCAGGTCGCTTTAGGTGCTTGTTATTTGGCCTTGCCAGGCATGGCTTGCCACCAGTGGCTAGGACCACATCAAAGGGCAGGACGGACAGTGCCAAGCATTGTGGTATGCTAAACTTTTGCCTCCAAACTGCCATTGGGCTAGTATTGTGCAATCTGATGGTGAGAGTCAGGCTCCCACAACAAGGTCTACTTAGCATGAGCTGTAATCCCAAAAGCCCATATGTTTAAAACATTTGGATAAGATGCTTTTAAAAATAACACACTCATTTTATAAATAAAGTTGATCAAAAATTGCCTGGCTGTGCATCAGGCCATACCTGGCAATTTCACCAAATGACATTGATGGCCTTGTAAGGATTCTTCTTTTCAGTAGCTGTTATCAAATATTGCACCTGAAAGCAGTTAAGGTAGACATTTGTCACAATGCAGTACACTGTCATTACATGCATGTGTAGTTTTCATGACTCAATATATCCCTGCTTTTGACCGCTAAGCATGAAATTCGAGCAGAGGCATTTGCAGGATTTCACAACAGGGGATGCAACTAAAATTTCTGACTAAAAACTGCACTTCAGCACGTCACACGCGGCTGATATTCTTGTGTGCCATGTGAGAACATTGTATGCTTTCAATATTTTTAAACTGAGATGTCTTCTTTGATCATTGGGTTGTTGACATGGATTGCACATGCATATTAAGACAGGTAAACCTTTGGCGCTAAAGCTTTGATGATAGGGCACATGCTTGAACGCAATGGAGGGTATGCTCCCACATTGAATACGCACCTGTATTCGAGGCCACTTTTGGAAAATGTGCCATTGGCCGCTGGCTGGTGGATTACTGACACGCATATGGGTTGTATAGATTAAATATCGCTTTATGATTTTGAATTGGCACATTGACGGTGGCGTGGTCAGAATTTCGCCTCAGAGAGACCGAGTCTGGTCATGCTGGGGCCTTTGGGTCAGTGGCTCCTAGTCACTATAGGGTCCTGATTTTTTATTCAGAGGACGCATTTTAGGCTCTGGTCCTATTTTCACAACTTCAGGCCAGTTTTTATGCGTTTGAGGCCCTACAAGCGCCTTTAGCTGGCAGAAGGTACTGGCGCCCTTAGCGTCAGAGGAACCGAACCCCCACCACGACCACGCGGGGGGAGAGGACTCCAGAATCTCCCAGCGTGGCTACGCCACTGCACATTGGCGTGCAACATGCAGATAATATCAAGTATTTGTCTTCTCCGGTTGTAGACATGTTACAGTTGTCCGTAACCACGTTTCTGCGGGCCGCTTCATGCTGTGCGTTCAAGGGTGCGTGACCACCTGCGCACCCCGACCGTAACCACCTGCGCACCCCGACCGTAACCACCTGCGCACCCCGACCGTAACCACCTGCTCGCCCCGACCGTGCGTGCTGATCCGATGGTATGGTCTCTCTTCAGTCAAAATGTGGCGATTGCGTATCACTTGCGCGTTGAGCCGTCAGAATCTAGGCTGGCTTTGACTCCTGTTGTACATCGCTTTTGCTGGTAGATATTTGGTGTTTTTCATTTTAATCGAATAGGAAGTATAGATTTGAAATAAACCGCAATATAGATCACCCCAGGCTAGGAGGTTATACGGAATCGCTTGCGTATTTCTCCTGGAAGATCTCTTAAGCAATTCTATTTGTTGCTGCTGAAAGTTGAAAATTGCACGAGTCCGCGAGCATTGTTGGACAAGTTATTTGCTTATAAAGCGTGTAAGACCGCAGCGGATTGCGTTTGCTGTGAAGACGGACACACGAAACCCTGGTATCATGCTCATTAGATAGGTGAGAATGTTTGACTGTGGTAAATGTAGAACTCTCAACGCTGTAACGAGCTGGAGTTCTGACTACGGTTTGATCAGGATCAGGTGTTACCTTCCCATCATTTCAAGACCTTGCGCCCGCCATTGAGTCAAGAAAAGCCTGCAGGATTGGATGTGGGCTCACAGTGTCCAGATAAGGACACAGTGCAATACACGACATTGAAATGCTTCATTTGAATAAAACCCCAAACCGAAATTAAAGAAGTGTTCCCTCTAGAATGAGCCACTGACGTTTTCGAACCCCTTTGATAGCACGTGAGCTTAGTTCAGGACACAGCTAACTGCATAAGACTCACGGTGAAGATTGCTTTAGTAGATCTGCGAATCTCTGAAACTCGCCCCCCCCCCCCCGCAAAGACTTAGAACGCAATTTTCCGTATTAACATCGGGCTCACTTTGATTGGGAAACTCTGATTATCCTGCGACAACTCATAGGAAATATCGCATGGGGTGAGATGGAGGCGACGTGTACGCTCTGTTCGTGGTGCAGTGATATACGCCCTGTCATGTCTCAGAGGCGAAAACCCGGTGGAAATTGAGCGAATGTGATCTCAGTGACGGATACCATTCGGAAGCAGAGCAGATAATTCACAACACTGGTGACCACAGCACGCTATTTTGCGATGTTTCGCAGGTTACCGGACCAATCCATATGCCTTGGATGTTACGGAGGATTTGTTTGCTACGCGGACTCGGCACTCCTCCAACATTAGCAATCACAGGCTAGTCGGCTTCACAAATAAGGTGAAGACATTGGCATGCTTATGGTTTATATTTTGTAGCATTTAGCTAGCAGTTGTCTGATCAACCATACTCGGTCACCGAATTTGGATTGATTGATGTCTGCCCCATGACTCTGCTTTCTGTAAACGCACTGGTGTGTTGCTGACCTTGGCATCAGTCGGTATCAGCCGGAGTTCAACTTATTTTTTGGTCCCCCACAGCGGTTCAGTCAGCAGGTATGCCGTACGCTCGGTGTCACGGGGCTGCTGTTATTCGACGCGTGTAGCTGGAGATTGGTGGGCTGAGGTAGCTGGCCCCTGGCTCACTCTCCCAGTTCTTTGGTTGTTTGTCATCGCAGACGCCCGCCAAGGTCGTTCACCATGCTCGAAACAGCGGCCAGCGGAACCCTCCCACGTGGGGAATGGAGTCGGAATCTCTCGACCACGAGCCTGGCGCCGTCGGTGGCGCTGCTACTGACGACCTCCGGCCGTGCCTGCCAGGTCCTGTCGAACCTCTGTGCTGTCCAATCTCGGCTGGTCGGCCAGAAGTTCGAGGTCAAGGTCAATGATGTCCGCTTTGTGGGGCACCCAATCTCCATCCAGGCCGACCACCGACGTACCTCCAACGAAGAGAACAAGTCTACCATCCACCTGTTCCACATCGTCTTCGCGCTGTGGGTCAGTGCCAACAGGTGATGGGATGGTAGGCGACAGGTGATGGGATGACAGGCGACAGGGACCGGCGGTGGGTCAGTGCCGATAGATGGTGGGATGACAGGCGTCAGGGACCGACCGCCAATGAGCCGACCGCAGCTCCAATTGTAATCCTAACAATTTGCACTTCTTGTTTGCCGACTTCAATCCAGCCCGACCACCGATGCTGCTGGGAGAGCCCGCGTCCTATGGTCGTTATGGTTGATGTTTGACTGTAGGTGACATGGGCCGGAAGGCGACGTTTGATAACAAATCACCGCGTTTCGACCTTAAAAATAGTAAGCTGCCGTTCATTGCTGCAGGACGTTTGTTGCCATGCGACTGGCAGGCTGTGGTGGACGCACGGTGACCAAAGGCCCGTCCTCAGCAGTCTGTCGCGCTGTTTGGTGCCATCCACGACAGACGTGACCTCATGGTATTGACAGGCGAAGGCGAACCACTCTGTGGTCAACTGCTACCACGACCTGAGCCGACGCGTGGGCATCGCCGTCTATCACGAGGAGAAGCGGTGCCGCTACATCACTAAGCAGGCTAAGATAATGTTAGGTGGGTCGAGCGCAGGAAGCGTTGGCTGACGGCATCGGTGTTCTAAGGGGCGCCACGGCTGGCCTAATAATCGGAAGCGGTGTGGAGCGCATTGAAAGGTACCTTAAACCATGTTTTGGAGAAACCTTTTGCATTCGGCGCTGCATGTTAATGCACAGCAGGAAATTCGGTTTGGCAGCATCGCTGATATGGGCGGAGGGATTGCACCTCTTCTGAACAAACATTATAATTGGGATAGCTGTTCGCCATTGGAGACCGAAGCATTGTCATACCTCCTCGTGAGCTGTGCAAAGCGTCTCCTTACCCGCTAACCCACACTGACTTATTTGCAGACCCTTTGACCTGCGCCCAGCCCAACTCCGAGCCCTGTGATCCGCGCCTAGTCCCATCTCCATGTCTTCTGATACGCTATCAGCGCATCTGAAGACCCTCTGACCTACGCTCAGTCCTTCCTCCTGATCCTCTGACATGTCCTCAGGCCATCTCCTGGCGCTTTGACCCGCGCTCAGCTCATCTGCGGACCCTCTGACCAGCGTCAGGCCCAATCCTCAGACCCGAGACCCAAGCTCGATCCCCCCCCCCCCCCCTAGCCCCCGCTTGGCCCGGCCGCGTGACTCCCTGACCCCCCCCCTCCCCCTCTTCGCAGCCGTGCACGACGACTACGCCTCCCAGCCGGAGTCGAGCCGGGTCGAGTCGCCGTTCAGCCTGGTGCTGAACGCCAGCCATCTGGCCCGCGAGCTGAAGGCGGTCTACGACGGGTAGGCGGCGTCCGGAGAGGGCACGGCCACACGGAAACCCCGCCGCCGGGGCGAGGGCGGGCGGAGGGTAGAGCTTCGCGTTGTCCAGAAAAGTTGGAGTTTGTCCCCGTTCGGGTGGGTTGGCGGTGGGAGTCAGCCTGACCGCCTTAAGTTTTTCCAGATAAGCCTTCGAACGGTGCGGCATAGCTACGTCAAACTATGTATGGCTATACATAATTGAATAGCCGGCCTTTGACATAACAAATTAGAGGTACCTTTTAAGTGCGCTGACCTGGAGCAGGTCAAAATGGGGTCATGCTTGTCAGCGGTTGCAATTTTCAGGGAATCTTTCAAGCTGACTTGACATTTCAGTGTTCGGTGAAGTATTGCAACTTTAAGGTGGTTCCTCAGACAGTAATAAGATTGAAATTAAAATATAAAGTGATGCATTTGACCTGATTTTAAATTCAAAATAACATCGAACGTCGCTAGTCCTATTGACCTCCCAAAAATGTGGCAGAGTCGTTGACCTGATATGACCCAGTGTGGCCTTTTTGTTCAAGCAGTGCATGTGGGCAAAATCTGGTTGCATGACAAAGTCTGGGGGCACTTTGGATGCCGTTCTCACGTTTGAGTAATTGGTCCTTGTTTGACTCCAAGGTCACGACGAAGAGACCTACAAATTTTATGCAAATTAGTTTGCATTCGGCCGTACCTACGCCGTGAATGTGGCGTCGCTAACCCTCTTAGTTTTGTGATACATCCGATGCTGTCAAACTGACCACACCCGCATCCGAGCTCGTCACATTCACCCGTCCAGCGAAAGGCGTTAAACGTGGCGTTTTTTGTGTCGTGCAGGGTCAAGGGGGTTTGACATGTCTCGGAATGGAAGGTCTCGCGGAAGCTAAGCGATTCTTGCTTGGATTTTAAAAGCGTCCTGTCAGCACGGGCTGACACAAAGTAAGCGGTCATCCGCTGTGTAGGTATGTGGTCATTTTGGCGGCGTTTGCCTTGCCTTTTCCCGCTGGCGCCCTACGTGCCTATAGCAGTTCCGCCCTGCCTACGACCACGGCGGCTCCCGGCCGGTTCTGCGCCAGTCCGCCCACGTGGCCTGTTTGTGCGCGCCCCGAGCGCTCAGCGTCCGAGTGGGTCGGACCTCTGGCGTCTGCGTCGATGCGTCGGTGCAGCCGGGCGTCCCGCTGCCGCAGCCTGGTGCAGACCGGCACTGTCCAGCTGAGCATCGGGGGCTGGATCGATGTCAACTTTTGCCTGCCGCAGAAGATACACAAGCTGCACCTGGACGAGTGCACGGTCGAGGTGGGATGCCGGACTGGGAGCGGGCTCCCCGCAGTGGCAGATGCCGGACTGGGAGCGGGCTCCCCGCAGTGGCAGATGCCGGACTGTGGACGGGCTCCCCGCAGTGGCAGATGCCGGACTGGGAGCGGGCTCCCCGCAGTGGCAGATGCCGGACTGCGGACGGGCTCCCCGCAGTGACAGATGCCGGACTGTGGACGGGCTCCCCGCAGTGACAGATGCCGGACTGGGAGCGGGCCCCCCGCAGTGGCAGACGCCGGACTGTGGACGGGATCCCCGCAGTGACAGATGCCGGACTGTGGACGGGCTCCCCGCAGTGACAGATGCCGGACTGGGAGCGGGCCCCCCGCAGTGGCAGATGCCGGACTGTGGACGGGCTCCCCGCAGTGGCAGACGCCGGACTGTGGACGGGCTCCCCGCAGTGACAGATGCCGGACTGTGGACGGGCTCCCCGCAGTGGCAGACGCCGGACTGGGAGCGGGCTCCCCGCAGTGGCAGATGCCGGACTGTGGACGGGCTCCCCGCAGTGGCAAATGCCGGACTGTGGACGGGCTCCCCGCAGTGGCAAACACCAGAGTGTGAACGGGCTCCCCGCAGTGGCAGATGCCGGACTGTGGACGGGCTCCCCGCAGTGGCAAATGCCGGACTGTGGACGGGCTCCCCGCAGTGGCAGACGCCGGACTGGGGGCGGGCTCCCCACAGTGGTAGCTGTGCTGTCGTTCTGGTCACGGTGCCAGCCAGTGTAGCAGCTCCGTGATCTGTAGTGAGCGTTGTTTTGCAGTAGGTCTGTACAGTTAGGGGTGACAGCAGCTGGAGATCAGAACGGGTCTTTTGGAGCATTGTTGAGCGGGTGTGTGCCATCTTTTCACCGAAGACTCTGGTGTGCATCATCCAAAGCTGTCGCCGATCCTGATCAACGGCAGCCGTTACGCTTCCGGCTTTCTCAATGGCGCATGAAGTCCGCCTTAAATGTGCTGCCTATCTTGACTAGCGTTCTGTTTGTATCTTGTGCCTTCGTGCGTCGTACCATATTTCGTGTGACCTTGTGTTCTGCTGATCGGGGTAAGGTTATGTAGCCGGCATGCGGCCGGTGGGGTCGGCGCGCCTGACCTGCCGCCCGCCTCCCACCGTCAGCCGGAAGACATCTATCGGTGTCTAAGTCTGCTGAAGCCGTACCACACGCTGCTGCTGCTGGAGGACGAGCGCGACCTGCTGCCGTCGCTCAGCCCGGACGCGTCGCCGACGCTGCGCCGGCTGGTGCGCGTGGCCAACCCGGTGCGCAGCCTGCAGCACCTGGCCGCCGACGCCGACCTCACACTGCGGCACGTCTTTGAGGTCGGTGGAGGGCCGGCTGCGGCGACGCGTGCTCGGAGGCGACCCGCGGCCATGGCGGTGTCCACGGGGTGTATTGGGCCTTGCCGGGTGTGGGGTGTCGCTGGGATTTGGACGTTTCTTGATGTGCTTGGCGTCGGTTGCGGGCCGGTGTTTTGTCACGTGTCTGAGGATGGCCCTGGGTTACGTGATCTGGTCCAGTCTGGTACAACACTCTGACAGCTGTCTGAGGTCATTAAAAAGTTGCTATAAATGGATATGAGTTAGGAAAAGTGATCACGGATTCTGTAACCTATTGATTAATTTCCCCGCACACGTACCCTAAAGCACGCTTTCGGTGCAGGCATAGCAGGCCTGGTTGCAAAGGTTCGCTTACTGTCTACGACGCAGCGCAATACTAGCACTACATGCGTAGGGCCTCACAATATGTGCCGCTCCGTCCATTCCGCCTCACAGTGCCTGCCGCTGTGCCTATCGCGGCCTTACAGTGCCTGATTGTTATGTCTGGACCTCGCGGCGCCGGCTATTTGGCCTTGACACTTACCGCCGGCCGCTGCCCCCCGCCCCCGTCATCACCGCCAGGCCGTTGCCGTTTCAGCTGGTTAGTCAGCTGGTGTACTGGGCAAAGGCCACAATCATCTACCCACTGTGTGAGAAGAACGTGTACGTCATATCCCCGCACGCGCCCACCAACCTGTGAGTACCGGGCTGGGTAGAGGATGGAAGCTGTTCCTTGTCGGCCCGAAAAGTGACCAGAGGAGCATCCCTCAAGCTAGCATTTGTGAGCTAGCATTTGCCTTTGAGAGATGAAGTCATGGGTAATTTTAATCAGAGTTTGAAAGGAGTATCCCGCCTTTTTATGACCGACGATGCTGCAAAATGCCGCAACGGACAATGCCGATGACGCACCGGGCGGGCCGACATTGTTACATTTAGGGAGGTATCCCATCGTTTTTGTGCTTTTCACTTAGTGTACATCAGATGCGTGCGAGCGGGATCAGTAACACCAGTTTTCTCGAAATCCTTCAGAATTGCTCAGAATTAGTTTTTGAGGTAGCCGGCCCTGCATGGGAAGTCTCTCTGCTCACCACCATGAAAGTGATGCGTTTTATTTGCCCTGCTTTTTCCAAGCTGTGTGCTCAGTAATGTTTGCAACACACCCATGTGTCGAAGCGTTCGAGTAATACATTCTACGAAAGCTTGAAACGGTTTGTTCCGACGATAATATATGCGAACATGAAGCTTTTATCCCGCGAATTTAACGAAACGTTATACTATGGTTTTTGTTTTGTTTGCGTGCAAAATGCGGACAGTGTGTTTGCAGATGCTCCTCAAGATGTGCACACACGTCTTTAACCCACCGTTAATGCTGTGCCGACGTGTCCGTGACGCCGGCCTGGCCTCGTGCAGAACCTCCAAGCTGACGAGCGACTTCTCAGAGGAGTTTGCCGGCCAAAGCCTGCATCAGGTGCTGGCCGAGTACTCGCTGCCGTCGACGCTAAGTCAGAAGGTCACGCCGATCACAGCGCAGCAGCAGCAGGTCAGCAGGTCGAGCCGCCGACCTCAGCCCGTCGTTCGGCTCCCCTCACTCGCCTCCCGGCGGCCATAAACATTCCGAGCAGAAGCGCACCCACTTAAAGTCTGCCGTGTGGGTTTGCCTCGAGTGTCAAAACCGCGGTGAGGCGTTGTTAGGGAGACATCACGGTCTTTGCTTGTGGCAAAGTTTTTGTGGGACGGGATGCTCGTGGACTCGGGTGGCATCCCGGCGTGTTGGTACCCCAGCTTCCCGTCAGACCAATGCTCCTGCGGTCACTTACGAGCCCTCGTCTGGACACTCTAACGTGACGGGCCCCCGTCCCGCAGCCGACCAAGGTGCAGGTGCTGGTGTGGCTGCTGCAGAGACGGCTGCTCATGCAGCTGCACGTCTACGTCTTCTTCACGCCCGCCACGAGGCTTCCCAGCACCGGTGGGTGGCGTCACATCCCTGCGATGTCGTAGCGAGGACGCTGCTGACCTGAATCTCGCCGCAGTTCGGGGTCGTGTGACAACTGGCACGGCTGGCAGAGCTCCTGTCGGTTCGAAGAGCTACTGCGGTGGTGTGTTTTCCTCATCGCCCGGTGGCCGCGTGGTCTGCGGAGTTTGGCCCTGTATGTGACGGGACGACAAGCAGGTCTGCACGGCGACATTTGTGAACGAGTGCCGTAACTGCCGAGAACGGTCGCGCTCGAACTGCCGAGACCGGTCGCGCTCGAGCTGCCGAGAACGGTCGCGCTCGAACTGTCGAGAACTGTCGCGTCGGAATTGCCGAGACCGGTCGCTCCCGCGATACCTGCCATGACTTACACGTGCGGTGCCGTTTGCAGCGCCGACCAGCCGGCAGTCGACGCCGGACAGCATGACGACGACGGTCAACACGGCCTCGGACACGAGCTCAGGTCAGCGGTGCGGCGCGGACCGGCTGCCGCGTGGCGGAGGGCTTCGCCGCGGGCTCGGTTCAGCGGTCCGGACAGTAGCTCGCGACATCGCGGTCGTGATCCTGTGTACTGCACCTCGGCGCACGGGACCTGTGACGGACGCCTGCTATCACACCGCCGCGCTCCCCACACCCTGTCGGCGCGCGCCAGGCGCTGCCCGTCGCCTGACACTTTGGGCCCCTGTCGGCAGTGGTGGACGGCGCCGTCCCCATGAGTCCCGTGCCGCTGGAGCACAGGGCGGATCTGCTGCTGAGCTCGCTCACCGAGCCGGAGCGCGAGGCCGTGCTCAAAGTACCGGCCGCCAAGGACGTCGAGAAGCTCCGGCTCTTCGCCAAGTGAGTCTCCGCCGCCGCCCGGCCAGCCGTCGTACGCCAGGCTCTGCTGGCAGAGCCTGCGCGTGCCCGGCTGGGCCCGTGTAAGGCGCACGCGGCTGGCCGAAACGTCACGGGAGTCAGGCAACGAGTGGGCGCTTATAAGGGAAGACGCTATCGTGTGGGAGGGACCGGGCTCAGTGCATATCGGGTGGGGAAAGTCCTGCACTGGTGGGAGACTGATTGGTCATCATTGAGGGATTTCATTTCCGTTCGCACCTGTATTGTGTCATGCTCTTAGGTCGCTAGGGTTTCTGGGACTTTTTGTACAGGTCCCAAAAATATCCGTGATAAAATGCAATTGATGTAACTGAGCTGACCACGCATGTTGCTCTTTCTGCGCTTAGTTACCTTGATTTCCTTTCCCTTGATTTCTTTGCGGCGGTAACATTCGTAGGACAGCTGTGAAGTAACCGGCATCGGGCACGTCAGTGTAGTCCAGATTTTGAACGATCAATAGTTCGCCCTCTGTGCTCTAGCCACCCAGGCTTATAAGAGACTACGAAATTCGATGAGTTTTGCTACGACCGTGGGGCCACATGGTCCCAGGCAACACTAAAAGGACACCGGATACCGAAAGAGATATTCCGATTACTTACCAAATGTGCATAATCTATCGTTATCTCAGATTTCAGTCTGTAACGAGCACCTACCAAAAAAGTTAACAGATCATTTACCATAAGATCAATAGGGTGCCAAATAAAATATGTTGTAGGTAAATGTGCGGCCAGTTGCGGCGTACTTTCGTGACTCGTTTGAAAACCTTCCTTTGACCAGGGCTTTTCCGCTTACTTTGCACCACTGACGCACAATTTTGTCTTTAGAATGATCTCTATGGGAGGCTAGTACACAGTACACACACTTCTGTGATCAGTGTTTTCGTTCGAAGCCTTATAACCCGACTAAAACACGCAAAAGTGACAATATCGGGTTGCCTGTTATTTGTTGCGGTACAAAATCCGGAATCTGAGTCATAATTTTTGGTCGCTCCAGGAAAAAAAATAAAAGATGGGAATTTTCTGGGTTAGTCTAATTTTTTCAACCGGGCCTGCCTTTCAAGAACGACTAGGCGTTAACTGTTTCCCTTATCTGCGGAGAGGGGGTTCTAACCTAGCCACCTCTCAAGGGCTTATCGTCGTTACCTCCTTGTAGTCGTGTGCAAGCTAAGTTCGAATGTTTCGTCTTGTGACGGTGTGTTCTTTTTGGTGCAGGCTGCTACGCTACTTTAATGGGATGTACCACCTGGAGGAGATCATGTACAGGGAGAACCTGCGACGCTCACAGATTCACCAGCTGCTAGAGGAGTTCCGCGACGTGCTTACCACGTGTCAGCGCGACGACGAGATGTCCTTTCCATCACCACGTTGACGGCGGCAGTTGGCTTACAGATGAAACATGCGACTGGTCGGCGCAGGGTGATTTCTTCAACGGCTGACGGGCGGAGCCGTCTGGTGCGACAGCGGCGGCGGAGAGCAACTTAAAACAGTGCGCTGGTCGGCGCGGTGATTCCTTCAGAGGCACGGCTGACGGCGGAGCAGGTCTGCGTTGCTACAGCTGCGGTCGAGAGCAATGACGTAACAGTGCGGCTGGTCGGCGCGGTGATGTCTTCAATCACGGCTGAACGGGCGGAGCCGGATCTGTGTATACATCTGGCGGTCGAGAGCAGACTATCACGTGTGTGGACCGTGAACGGTCCATATGGAGTAGTATTGACGTGCCACTGAGGGAGATGTGCAGTTGTGCCCCGTGGCTGGCTGGCGGGATGGTGTCTTTCTCAGGAACGCGATGCGGCGTAATGCTTGAGGCTGGTCGCGAACTGCGACCGTGCAATTATTGCTTAAGGATCCTGGAACCCGTAAAGGTGTCCATAGGGAAGTGTTCTGTGCGCTGATTGAATAGCCTTGTGCAGATTCTGTGCTCGGCTGCCAGTGGTCATACCAAGGAGCTGCCTGGATGGCGACCGTTGTACGCGGACCCAATCGATAGGCTGCAAATGAAATGGATGCGCTCATGCTGCGAACGCTTGGAGAATGCAGTATTTGAACGTACATGTTCCTTTCCTTTGATAGATGGAACGAAATGTTTTTTTTTCTCATATACTTCGCTTACAGAGACATGACCCTTTTACTTCATTTTGAAAAGCGCTTACGACATGCAACATCCGGTACATCATAAACCGGGTTCGGTCTATAATAATATGGGCGCCAAATGACCACTGCAGTCGGCGCGCCCCTAAGCTCCAACAAACAACAGCAACAAAGTCTATAATAATAGCTTCACCCATCATCTCTGTTGATGGTCGCGCCTGAAACATCCAGAATACCTCCCAGAGTGCACTCGAAATGTATGTTCGCGCCACCTGCAACGGCTGCGTTTACGTGCTTTTGCGCCCAAAGGAAACCCGCGCGACAGCAGGCTCGGGCGCTGCGCGGTCCCTACGAATGCCGAGCGGTGTCATCGTCTAGAATGGATCTAACGCCGACTATGCTTACAAGGCCAGTACGCGTCCATTGTTCGTCATCGGGCGGTCCGCTCCAGCACCGATATTTTGGCACTCCCATGATTTCACATCTGTAGCCTGCGCCCTGGAGAATGCAGACCTGCATTCCACAACGGTCTTGGCGATGCACTGGAAGCTAAGGGTGTGCTTTATACGTGATATAAAGCTACATCTCACACAATGCTAAAGGTGTGATTTTCCATCTGCACCTGTCGTGTTGACACCAGTGTTTGGGGTTACCAGCTTTAGAACTGACATGTTGTGCTCTTTGCCGATGTGCTGATGCAACGGCGAAAATGATATATATGTTTATATATATAACGTCGAGATACGCTACAATACTGCGAACGTTAATGTTCATAATGACGTTCGAAGCCAGTCTGTGCACGACTGATGTTTAACTGAATTAAGTGTATGAAACGTTTTCTACTGAACATAGAGGAAAATGCGCATCGGGCCATCTATGATACGTTATTACGTTATTACTATTATTTATGATATAAGATATTTCATGGCTTATTAAGTTGTAAATACTATGATAATTCAGCCGACTTACCACTTTTAAGGTCACTGTATACACAAGCTTTAGCATCGTGGAAGGTCTCAGTAATTTTGCAAGGCATTTGTGAGGCAAAGTAGCGCATACGATACATTTATGCACGTTTGTACGACGGACCACGACGGATGCACTCGATTCGATCGGCACGACTTCAAGTTTTGAAGATTTGTGTCCACATCCGGGATATACATAACAAACACATATTTAATATACCTGCAAAAATACGGCCTGTAGGTGTGCCTAAAGCTACATCTTGGTTTGGACACTTGCACAGATGTAGTTTTAGACATTTTGTAGATAATGTAGTGGTTTTGGACCTCTGACCTGTTACCTAGTAGTACATTAATTTTTTACTAGCTAGAAACGCCAGCCATCGGTTGGCTGCTTTCAGATAGGACTTCATATTGTGCTGTGAGAAATCCAGTTTCATCCTACGCTGCTTGAATAATTACATTATGCACATCCTCCATGCTCAGCCTGGTGCTCAGCTGCCATCTAGCACAAATCCAATGTTTCATGTTATAATTAAATGTGAAGGTAATTTCAGCTCAAAATGCTTCTAAAACATTTCTTGCTTTATGTTAAGTTTAAAACTTATCCCAATTTGCCTTGGCTTAGTGTGACACATACAAGCATGAGACTGAGAACATTAACATATAGGCAGTGCTACCATCAAAAGTCAAAATGCATAATTAGCAATGTCATGATGGTTCAGGAGAGCATTTTTTGTGTTATGTGGTTGTCATGGTCGTAAATCAGAAGTGATAAGCAGAAACTGTGCACCAATCAGAAGGCAAAATACTTCTCTATGTAGCAATGCAAAAGTTAAAATGTCTTGTAACAAATGCAGCCTTAACTACCAATAACATTTTTTTACCCTGGAAGGTGGCATTGTAACATAACAGCCATCAAAGTAAAAAAGGTGTATCTGGGTAAAACTTCTGTCTGATAGTATGTGTTTCTGTCAATTGTTTAAAAGGTTTGGCAATCTCTCATATCTCAGCAAAAACAAGTATTCACACAGTCTGAATTTGTCATGCCCTTGCTAAGCATCCAATGGGTGATTGAACAGCTCTGTGGAACCAGAGAGGGATGTGTCATATTCATAACCAATTCAGGGCCAGGAAGTCTGCATAAAATTTAAACATCTGCTGGGTGGAGAGCACCAGGCATGGTGGCAGGCGTGCCCATTGTGCATGACTTTGCAGATACAAGAATTTGCAGATACCCATTTTTGACACAGTACTGATGCTGATTGTCAGTGACAAAACCGGGTATGTAAGGGTTACCTGTTTTTAACCCTGAAAATGTAGTGCTTGGGAACAATTGAGGCTTGTGTTTTACAGATAGGTATCAGTTACTTGTTATTGTCTTTAGAAAACCTCACAGGCACTAATTTTACTTGAATCTACCAACCTTATATCCCTTTTAATCTGTTTAAAATTTTGAATGTACACTTCTCACTAGGCCAAAATATGCATCTTGTCAGGACAAATCTAGTGGTACCAATATCTTGACCTCTAGAAAAATGTTAGTTGCATTTTTCTGACTGGATGTTAGAGCTGGCATAGTGGTCAGATTTATAAGACCATATCACACAAATGGTGTTTATGTGTTAGATATGATAGTCATCCAGTTTTGTTTTTTACAGGAATGAATGAATTAACACACTGGAATGATTTGAAGTGCATTTTCATGAGCATGTTTTCACAAGACAATTTTCTGAATGCTAATTTGGAAAGACCTGTTCAGAAGTGATGACTGCAAGAGATAACCTTTGGAACTCTCAAAGTGGGAGGTGCATTATATCATTGTCTGAGAAAGAATGCTCTGGCTTTCAATAATTGAAAACTAATTTGCACTCTGCAGTGTTTTTGTCACAGTATTTCATTGAAAGTGTGGCAGTAAAATCTTCAACCACTTATGCCCTTGACCTAAAAATGTGAGAAGTAACTGCATGAATGGTCCATTCACTGTTCTTTCTTCTGCTGATCACACCATGTGGTCATAAGGTGAACAGGCATTTGGAGCATGCATGCATTTTAGCTAAATTTAAAGTCAACAGATAGCATAGCATTTTGTGGCAAAATGTGATAAAATGGTTGTACTATCACTTGATCATGCTTTTCTCTTACATGCCCATGTTGAGCACATAGTGCTGCAGAAATCTTGACATGCTATGGTGGAGTTGTGAATATTTGATTCAAGCAAGGATGTCTTGTCCTTGTACAGGAGCATATATTTTGATGCGCAAATTCCCTTAAGACTGCATTGATATTTTTATAAGTTACATCAGTATGCGCAGATATGGCATTTACAGCAGGTGTGCATGCCTGCATGCACAAAATGCATGTGTGCATTAAAATGCATGCCTGCTGTGCATGCATGCATTTTAGCTATATTTTAATGCAAAATGTAACTGAAGCTTTTCATTGTTAACTTCAGTATGCAATCATCAGTCTGGTTCATGTGCCATCATTGACCTGTTCTCAGTACAACTGCAGAATGGATATAAGCTCCAAGCCATGTATCCTTTGCCCAGTTTGTGTTCCATAACCATGGCAAAAGACAATGCACAGTGCTGGTGAGAAGGGTGACCTTTGACCTGGTGTGCTTTAGTTGTCTTGCTGTTTTAAAAAGTAGGGTGAAATGTTTTTGTGGTGTTTTTTTAAGTGCAATTTGGTGTATGTTGTCATGCCCCTTTTATGAAGCACCATCAACAGCCTTGGCATTGGCCATATTAGTGCTCACAGGCCATGGCAAATGAATGATGAAATGACCAAATGATCCATGACAGATTGAAGCTAGACTGCCATCCTGAGTCCTGATGTCCCTGAGTCCTGATGAACCTGAGTCCAAGGTGCTGAAGCATTGGGCTACTATGCCTCACTGCTTTCTAAGTGAGATCATATAGCACTTGCTGAATGTTCAGTTTTCACTATGTTCAAAATCATGTCTGGTTATATATCTATTAATTTTATAGAATAATTTGATTTCTTATATCTGCAGTTGTCTTATCAGCAAATTGTTTCAGTCATGTCAGAGGGTGCAACATCAGACCGTCAGCCTTACAAGGTATGGCGCAAGCAATGGAAGAAAATGAGAAGAAAAAAACTTAGGCAAATGTCAGCCAAGTTCCGAGACTACTTTGAAGAAAAAAAGGAGAAAGAGAGAATGAAAGATAAAGCATATTGTGCCTGGCTTCAAGAGCAGGAGCATCTGGAAGAGCTACAGGAGGCTGAGGAAAATGCTGCAATGATCCAAAGGCACAATGCGTGGCTTGACAGAGAAAAGCAAGCTCAGCTTGAGTGGCAAAGGAAAAAGTTGAAGGAGGAAAAGGAAAAGCATGCGCGGGAGCTGCAGGAGAAACAAATCCAAGAGGAATGGGAGGCAGTTAAGAAAGCTGAGGAGGAGGAGAAGCGAGCGCGTGAAGAGGAGGATCAGAGGCGGAAGCAGAGGCAGGAGGCGCTGCTGCAGGAGGCATTGTCGGGACTAGAGGGGAGTGCCCCAACCGAGAACCCGCCGGTGCCCACCTCGGAGGAGCGCACGGTGGAGACCCGACCGGGCCTACCGCTCTGTCCGTTTTTCGAGAAGACAGGCTGCTGCCGGTTCGGCTCGCGGTGCTCGCGGAACCACCCGCACGTGCTGCTGGGCCGCTGCCTGCTGCTGGAGCACCTTTACCAGCCGCTGGGCATGAGATTTACGCAGGACGACGAACATAACCTGGACGTGGGGCTGGAGTTCGACGACAGGGAGCGGGCCGAGGCACTTCGACGACTTTTACGGGGATGTACTGCCGGAGCTGCGCTCCTGCGGAGAAGTGGTGCAGTTCAAGGTGTGTCAAAATTACGAACCACACCTGCGGGGAAATGTATACGTGCAGTACGCGACTGAGAATGAAGCGGCTCGCGCTTTTACCATCTTCAACGGCCGCTGGTACGGAGGCCAGCAGATATCGGCCAGGTTTGTGGACATTCAGCGGTGGAGCAGGGCGATATGTGGCGCCTTCTTCAAAGGCACGTGTCCCAAGGGCAGAAACTGCAATTTCCTCCACGTGTATAAAAATCCTGGCAGCGAATTTTGGCGGGCAGACCGAGACATGCCGTCAGGCGTGGCGATGCCCTCCCGTGACTGGTCGACGTCGCGCAGGCATGACAGGAACCAGAGCGCCGGACACCGCAGAGGCCGGCATGACTCGAGCGACATGGAGCGGGACTCGAGTCGAAGGAGTCATGCCTCCAGGCGGAGAGACGGCGAGTCCCGAAACCGACACAGGAGTCCGCCCAGCGACCGCGAGGCCCGGGTGCGCGGCGGAGATGGCGACGCAATCTCGAGGATGAGCAGCCCGTCGCGAACAGATCGCGCCAAGTCCTCCGAACGACGCAGAGACCGTAGCGGCCGAAGGCCATCGCGAAACCGTGACTCCGAACTGACGCACGTGTCATCCCGGCGCGGCTCTTCCAGCAGGGAGCGATCTACGGGACGCAGGGAGCGGGGAAGTTCTCAGACGCCCGAACGACACAGGTCTCGCAGCAGAGACAAATTATCTCAGAGCCTGAAGCTCAATCCCAAGCGCTCCAACGATCACGGCAGCTCTCGATCACGACACCGCCACTCGGGAGGCGGGGACGACACCCGTCCTAGGAAGCGGCGGCACCGGGCGCCGGACCCGGACGAGGACCGGGCGCCGGGAGACGACGGAGACCTGCCAGTGACCGCCGGCCCTGACGGTGCCGATCGCCGGGGCACGGCAGGCCGGGCCGAGGGGCGCTGTGAGGGAGACGGTGACCCGCCGCAGGACGGAGCGGCCTCGGCGGACGGCACCGCGGCAGAGTCCGACCTGCCGCTGCCGTCGACCAGTACCGGTCCACCGGGCAGGCGGTAGATTGGCTCTGGTGGGGAAGGGGAGCGGTTGGAGGCGGCGCTGCGCCTGTGGTGGCGGGCTCTCAGTCCGCATCTCCGCTCGACAGGGCCGCCGCCCGGCAGACGGCGGCCGCGAGGACAGCGCACCAGCTCCGAACGTCGAAGGCCTTCTACTGAACACGCGGGAAGTTTTTCATGCGAGGAAGAGAATGGAGGTGTCTGATTGTAGGCTATGCGGCAGGACTAGCTGGTGGGGATTACCCATCAAAACTGTGATATTTCTCGTGGCGATCTCAGGTCGTATTAGTGTTACCCGGTCGGCACCCGGGAAAATAAAGTGTGTTCGTGCTGTACCACGTTGCTGACATCGTATGCGGGTCTGGGAAGTCGTTCTCCATTATCCGGTCGCCAATGGCCTTAACTAAAGTGTCCAGTCTCAGGCGGTGACTGCAAAGTCCGACGGCTGACCAGAGAAGGCTGGCACCAGTGGCAGAGACAGCGGCTGGATGCGGGGTGAGTGGATACTATGTGACGTCATAAGTGTCCTATGTCGACATTGCGTGTATTGTTTCACATTTTGTGTTGCCTTCAGTGATGCAAAGAACGACATATGAGTTTTGGGATGTCATTGGAGTATTTTCTTCCTAGATCGTCTCTTAACTTGCGATACCCGGTTAGTCACGGTGAGAATAGTAAAATGCAGAGTTAAGTAATGTGCGCCAACGACAACATGTGACGTATTCGTGAAACCGGTGTTGTGTGGACACGCATGGATCCACTAGGCTGCCACCTTGAGTCGAGTGCTAAAGGCTCGATATGCCATGCAGTCCTATTACTGCAACGAGCATGGCTGGTCGCACATTTATGTGGTTAGTTGCGAAACTACTGACGACAGGTTTGGTGCATTCACCTTCCGGCATCTGCCCAAATAGCAATTACCCTGCCCAAATAGCAGTTACGAAACGAAAATGCTGCGTGCATCTTTAGTATGGAGTCCCTCGTGGTGTAGCTTACGATTCTGGCCCTATGCTTTCCATTTCATTGTTGAATCACCTGATAAAGCAGGCAAGACAGGTGCAGTGTCCTGGTGTATGGGTCTGCTTCAGTGCTAGTTTCCCCTCCTTTTTTCTCTACCATCGCTCCGAACATTGTACCCGAGCTATGACAGCTTAGTCTGAATTCGGGGACTTAAAGTTCGGCGTGGTCGGTGTCAGGGTCACGTCCGTTTGGCCTGGTTTGTGAAGTTACGACAGTTATTCGCACGACTGAATTTAAAGCTATTTCCGGTATACGACAGCACCCAAATGTCACCACAGAATGTTGGCTGAAACCTATGAATACGGCGGCACGTGTCAACCATCGAATGGTCGAAAAGTAATCGCGACTGATAATTGAAAACAATACATCACTCTTATCTTGCCCGTCTCTCGTAAGAATTGTGGCAAGCTCGCGATTCCGCACTAGCACCGTCTCCCGGATAGGTGAGCCGCTTGGTCGCACCCGAACGAATGAAGACACTGATAGCTAACGTGATGCTAACCCGGGTTGCTGGTGGCCACTGAATGAGCCGACTGAATGCGCCTGCCGCGAACAATCGGGTGGTTCTGCCGGCTTGGCGGATCTGTTCGATGCTTCCGTGAACCGCACCGAAAGTTCAATCCTGGGTGCGGTACTGGCGGAGGTCCTGCTGCCGCTGATAACATCGATACCACCTCGGCCTCAAATCCATTGGTAGCTCCATCGGTGATTTGAACAGCTATATTGCGATGATTCGCTTGTTCTTTGGCCATGTCGTATTTCTTGCAGACCATTTTTGCTTTCCACTTCGCATAACGACGTCGATGAAACCGGGGTGTTGAATTGATGGCATTCAATGCTTTGCATGCCGCTAGCTGCCGGTCGTTGGGCCGCGTTGCGCCGATTCCGGTTCAGATTACCTGACTCAGGGCAAGACACCAAGATAGGAAGGGCACGGTTACTTGCCGTGCAATGTTCTATGGGTAGAAAGCCTGCGACAGCCTAAAACCGAACATAGTACAGGGCATTTAAATGCAATCGCGTGGCGCAGATCAGACTCCAGTCGCTGTTTAAGTATTCTTCAAAAATGCTTTCCAATTGGCGCCACGTCAAGGTGGTGTGCTGTCGGGCACACCACCTCATGAACGTGTTTGCGCACCCTGGCCGCACCTACGTGTGGCGCGTCGCTGTTCGTCCGACAGCCGCCAGGTGGCCGGAGCTGTTCGGTACACCGTACGTGCGACCCGGACGCTGGGTGGCCCATGACCCAGTCGGGCAGTATGACGCAGCCTGCCGTAATCTTCAGTTCGTTAAGTTACATGGAAGTACAGGGGCTCGTTAATGGGATAGTCCCGATAGCTCAATTTTGGAACTAGAGTTTAAGAGAGTAATGAAGTCAGGTGAACAGCATTTTGTGTAGGTAATTGAATTTTCATGAGCGGAACTGAGGTGGTGCGTCAATTTCTTTACTAAATATAGTAGTTTTTAGAAAAAAAACATTTAGTACTAAATGCATTTCCGTTTCAAACTAAATGTGACGATGAGTGGTGGAGCCCGGTGCCTGCTGCTGTCGCGCCTGAGACACTGGAACCACCAACGTTGTCCGCGCACGGCCGGGAGCCCCGGAGTGTTGTCATGATGCAATTCCCCGGCCTATTGTCTGCTCAGCCGTCTGGAAGCCAGGGGATTCCGTTCGCTAGCGATGCAGGTCGTGTTGTATCTCACGGCCATACAATGCATGATACGTGACTGAGACATGCTGAGGGCGCCAACCAGCAGCCATTATTTCTTCTTTGTAGTCGCCCTTCCTTTTTAAGTGACACCTGCGGATAAGAGCAGCGCATAATTTGACATAATTGGACTAGAGAGAGATACAAAACAAACCAAAATGCATGATGTCCCATGCCCTCCCGGATGCGGGCGTGCCAAAGCGCAGGGCGCCTCTAACGCGGCGCCAAGCACCGGCGGCCGAACGGCGCATCTCGAGTGCTGAGAGCTGGTCGTCATGCCAGACCCGGCGGCAGGCGACCTCCCACCGCCCGGTGCTTGTCGCGGCCGGCCGGCAGTCAGCTGGAGACGCTGGGGAGCGCTATGTCCGCGCCAAGAGACGCTGCTCCGTGACCCCATCCAAGACCCACGGGTCAGCGTGGCATCCCCAGTTTAACCCCTATGTTCGCAGCAAGGTGAGCTGACACGGCGTGCCCCGCTTCCCGAGTATTCGGCCTCGCATGGAGCGCAGGGGCGGATTAGCCACGACTGGTGCCGGCAAGCCGCGTTCGGCGGCTGAGTTTGTCGTCATCGCCGGCAGGTGACCCGCCGGCGGACCGTGGCTAGAAGCTCTGGCGGACAGCTGGGTGCACTTTGCCGCTCAGCTGCGTGTGCTCGCTTCGCACTCGGTGGCGCCGACCGGCCGCCTCGCCCACCAACACCGGCCCAGCCGCCTCGTCCGCCAACACGGGCTTCAGTGTCGCTACTGTGATCGGCCGCTGTACTGTTTGCCACCCGCCAGAGCCACTTAGGCTGCTCGGCCACGCACCTGAGGCCGGCACACTACCAGACCAGCCCCAGCTCGGGTTGGGATGCACGGACGGGTCTGGCGACGCGAACAGGGTGCTGATCGGGTGCGCCGCTCTGGAGCGCTCTGCCTTGATGCATGTTAGTGTTGGACGCCGAGGCTTTACGACGGTAGTATATGGCGGAGACAACTCATCTGTGTAAGGCATATTGGTGTTGACTGTCACGTTGTGATTAATAGATAATATTTTCCCCATTTCCTTGTCGCCTCGCTAATAAGGACAAAGGCTTTTCACAGAGTATATCATACTGAGGCTCTTCGGGTGACGCCGACAAATGAGAGGTCCAGGGTGTGCGTGTATTGGGCATATTCTCTTCGCCCGACACTTTCCCGACTTGCACATGAATATTCGCATGTGTTATAGCTCTGAGATACATTGCACGTTGCAGCAAGTTGCCGGGTTACACCGTTTGCATAATTACGTTGGTTCTGAACTCAGCAATCGCGTTTACACTAGACCTTTGCCGCACTGGTCGAAGCCGAACATAGGAATTCATGGGCCCGCTTTCACGAGGCGCTGGCACGCAACCTGAGTGGTAACAATGACTGGATTGCCGCAAGACACGTACCTTAACAGGTAGTAACAGGGTACGCATGACAACTATGTCCCCGGGCCGCGCGAGGGCTTAAGTATTCCCGGCGCAGTGCCATGATCTGACAACCAGACGCGAGGGACAGCAGCTCGGAACCCTATAGTCTGAACATCGGGTGTGCTCCGGCACCGAGGAACCCCGTGTGCAGCTGCGCGCGACATCAAACGAAAGTTCATGTCCAGCTGACAGACGCGTCTCCAGCGCCGGAACGCGCTCGCCTTGCGACCAGCTACACAAACACCAGCGGGGTGAGCAGCGTGATCAGCAGCAGTAATGACGAGGGCGGCCCAGACGCCGCGCTGGTGACCAGAGGGCGCATCAGAGGCTGGAGACTCTCGTCGCACGCGTCGTCCGTCCTGCACGTGAGGCTGCCCAGCTTGACGTTGCACGAGCATTGCACGCATGCCATCATGTAATGAAGCACCTGGTTGGTAGGTTCGTGGGGCGGGCACGGTCCTGACGGCGGAGACATGACGGATGGCTGTTTCCATCTAGGCTGCAGGCGTCATTTGGAGGCTCTCCGAAACTGCTGCGACGTGCATTTGATAAGAAGCGCAAAACGTGTGCCACACTCGGTGAATGCAAGTGAGGTGCCACTTTTTGATAGACGAGGGAAGGAAATTCAAACACAGTGATGTTCCACGTGATGCGCAAAGAAGACACAAAGGAGAAGTTTTTCTACCATGTTTCCGGAGAGGGGGCGAGAGGGGGCGAAGAATTATTATCGCCGCATGCTATGCTCAGATCTTCGCACAAAAGTAATAGTGCCTACTCGTGTTAGGAATTTGTGGGAGCCAACGATTCAACAAAACATATTCAATCGAAACGTGATGAAGTAGACTTATGGGTTGTGCGTGCAAGGTACCTACCTGGCGTATCGACCATGCCCTGTATTTCGGCTTGTAGAGCATCATACAAATCTTCAGTGTTAATAATGTGGTCCGCGGCCAAGTGATCGATCATTAGAGTCACCATTGTCATGACGATGCATTTTCTGAAGACACGTTCAATAACCATTGCTCGACTTATTGGCGGGGAAACCGACCAGAATGCAAAGGGTGTGTTTCATCTGTTTGGTACTCTGGTGACATTTGTTAGTTCCCAGTGTCCATTGATTGCTTGCAAACTCTCGCCCCTGGTTGCTACCATCCAGTAGGCAAACTTCCGGCTGGCTCAGCGAAACTTGGTTCAAGTGCCCATATCTCGGAACGTACAGCTCTTAATTGGTTAGATGCAGCCAAACGCTATCTTTCTGCAATCCAAGGAATCCAAGCTACGGACTCCATGATTCGCGGCGCACTCAAACTGACTCCAACTGATGGAAGCATGCGACCCGCACGGCCACAGCTATGCAAACGCACTACATGCTTTCAGGCACGCAGCGATGCCTCCAATGCGTTGCTTTGCTGTTGTCATGACAACCGTGCGAAAACTGCGGTGATGGCCGCGGCGGTGGCATAGTTTTTAGCGAATTCCTCGCATCGTTGCTGCTTGTTTGGGCGGAATTAACAGGAGAGAAATTAAGTGTGCACACATTCAAGACGTGCAAATGTCATGACAGCTGAAGTGGTTGAGCTTTGCGAAAATATGCATTAATTAAACGGACAGAAGTGGCGGTATATCTTTCTAAATTTAGTTGGCTTGTTTTGCTTTTGCTTCAACGTCGAGGCTCTCAGAGAATGTCACCTCCATAATAATATACATGCTTGTGGTGACGCCACTAAAAGGGAGCTGTTGTCCGAACGCATCATGATAGTACGGTATACATTTACATAATGTGCATAATGTATATGACAGGACAAACCTTTGGCACGGGTAGCTGTCACTCTTGCGGAAATTGCGTGGTTTCGCACTGCCAGAAGCATTCGCCACTCAAGGTTAATGTCAGATAGTGTTACCGCAGTAACGGATGCGCGGTAAACAGAAGAGCAACGAATAACTAAATGAAACGTGTACATTTTTGGACGTCATTGTCTAAGTATTGTAATGCATTGCTCTTAAACGCTCGGAGCATTCCGCCAACATGCTGTCCGTTTATGTTCGGGTCACTTCCGGCCAGATGGATTGCTGGGAATGTGGTGCTTATGCCCCAAGTGATGTACTGTCCGCACTCGTAAGCTTCGTTGTAGACTATCGGACCCCTTCTTCGCGTATACAATATTCATTTTCGCCTAGCAAAGTCTTACATTCATTCGTAGGGCGCACTGGATGAGATAAAGACGTTTGATTGGCCATCTGTACTGTGTATTTGTATGACTCCGATTTCTGTATTTTGACACTGTCTGACACCGTCAGCTGCATTTTACACACCTAATGCCTCTGGATGTTCCCACAGCAAGTACATACCTATCAACATATGTGATTCAGCATGCAAGATAATACAGTTGGGGAAAAACTACCACTCAACACTGAAAACCAAACTGCCAGTCCGTTACATTACATAGCCTCTTTTGGTACGCGGAGAGCACCATTATGAAAAAATGCACTAACACGTGAAAAGCAAGAAACGTAAACTTAGGCGGCAAGTTTTCCTGAGTTTTCCTGCATGCCTTTAAGTGGGCAACCTTGTTCGAATGGGAGTTCAGCAGCATTCAAACACCTCTCAGCACAACCATGGCAGCTCTGGCGTTATTTTGTACGTCCAAGAAGATTCTTAGCGATAGCGCCCCGTATGGCGGCCCCCGTCCGCGATGGAGGCACCCCCTGGCGCCCTGTCGGCGAGCCACTGCCCCGCGACAGAGCAGCTGAGGGTGTGTTCGGGTATCACGTATTGCACCATCCCGTCTGGCCCATTGCTGAAAGCTTTGGCGACAGCCCAGAACGGCATACAAAAATAGACTATGCGCTCATTCATAGCCGGACCAAACCGATGAGCTTGTCCCAAGCGTCTGCGGGGTATGGGGCTCGGGATCGCCGGAGCTGGGCTTCGGGTCCAGCCTCCGAATCTGAATACCGTTGACTTCCGCGACATGAGGCTCGTATTAGATACAAAAGCTCCGGCTCCAACGGGCTACACACTGGACACAGCGCTCGAGCTTCGCGGCCGTCCCCCGGATGCGATGAATCACCCGTGTTTACAGTCTCACCTGGGCGTCACTGGGTACTCCCATGACAGCGATAACTAAAGATGAACATCACACAATTCTGTATGCTAATGGAGCCGACACGATGTGCACTACCCGTCGCGTAAAAGGATGATTGAGTTTCTTCTTGATGTCATCGCTATTGCTAGAACGATTAAATAACTGTATCGTACACAAAACACCTTGGGTTCAACCACATATAAATGCAAAGAAAAAAACAAATATGTCATAATAGCCACTATTTTCACCCAACAGTAACCCGAAGAATGATGTCGTTCGAAATGAATTGACGTTATTTTTGCCATGGTATGTTTTGCGTTGATTTAGTCAGAAGTCAAAGCATTTGTGTACGATCAAGCATGGGCAGGTTCGGAGATGGATTATAACCCGTTAGATAAAAATTGGAACACTTCGTTGATAAGAATTGGGTGTAGCGTCAGTGTTACCAGGGGAACCCTGCCACATATCAGCTCTTGGCCGAGACATAAAACATTTATGTCCTAGTACGTACACAGAAACATGTGGACACAACCAGCAAAGCTAACTAATGCTACTGATGCCGACGTTTACGCGCGATATATGCTGAGATCTTAGTACATCAAACAAGTACGAAATTTGATAAGGAAACATAAGGACAGCTATCGCGGGCCACAAAGCGCTCTTTCCCTTCTCCTCACCAATTACTGCCCGCCTGAATGACTGTTTCCTCCATCGCGTGGTGCGCAGCCAACAAACCATCTACTCGCGCATAGGATAGTCTTAGTGACTAGGAAGATGTCTAACGAAATTGCTGACGCGGAAAGAACAGCTCATGACATTACGAGAGCAGCCCACGACATTACGAGGATGCACAGCGGACTGAACCGCCCAAAAGAAGGCTGAGTTTGGTAAGAGAGGGATAGAGAGGGAGTGATAGAGAGAGAGGAGGGCGGGGGGGGGGGGGGGCGCAGAACCTCTCGGATATGAGCTGGGTCGTACTCAAATAAGACTCACTCACGAAGAGGGAATGGCCGAAGGAGGATGGAACTATCCAGACGGGGACAGTGCCTGCCAAATGGCCGAATCGCAGAGAAGACGTATGCACCAGCTGAAGGCGTCTAAACCGCTCACGGCAACCAAGCCGCGCCCAGAGGGCCGCGCGGCCGAAGGTGGACGGCATCGCTCTTGACAGGTGGGAGCCGCAGCCGCCAGACCGGGGCCGTCGCGGAGGAGACGCAGGGTCGGCTCCAGCCGGCTAGTGGACATCGCGCGGCGCCTCCGGCGGCGCCGGGTCGACCCGAGCTGGGCTGGGACCATGCAGAAGCCAGACCGGCGGCAGCAGGTCCGGCTGCGCCACCTGGCCACACGGCGTCGTCTTCCAGTGGCTGCGCAGGCCAGACGTGCTGATGTAGTGCTTGTTGCAGGAGTAGCAGGAGAAAGGCCGCTCGTTGGTGTGCAGCCAGCGGTGCAGCTTCAGGTGCACGTGCTGCGTGAAGCGCGACGGGCACATCTCGCAGGCGTACGGCTTCTGGCCCGAGTGCAGCCGCATGTGCGTCTTCAGGTTGGAAGTAGAGCTGAAGCGCCTGGCACAGAGGTGGCAGGCGTGGGGCCGCTCGCCTGGGGACACGCGACGTGATGTCAGCACTCCGGAGGTCTTGCCGAGGAGCAAGCGCACGTCGTTACACTCAGTAATCTCAAATCTACCGCAAGTGAATAAGGGGCACAGCTGTACTGAATATCTGACGCACACGCAGCTCCCAGCCCCCGCAATTTCCTTCCCACCACCTATCGCCTCCACTCACCGGTGTGGACCAGGTTGTGTTTCTGCAGGTGGGCCAGCTGGGTGAAACGTTTGCCACAGACGGTACAGTTGAAGGGCCGCTCACCGCTGTGCGTGCGCATGTGCACCTTGAGGTTGCTCAGCTGGCCGAAGGTCTTCAGACACTGGTTGCACTGGTAGTGCATCTTGCCGTCCTTCTTCCGCAACGGGAAAGGCAGGGTGCGGCTGTCGCGGGGCCACGCCGCGTCCCTGTTCCAGGGGCCTGTCACCAGCCGTTGCTCTGGCGGCGGCGGCGGGGGCGGCGGCGGCGGCGGCGGCGGGGGCGGCGGCGGCGGTGGCGGCAGCAGCGGCGGCGGCGGCAGAGCCGGCCTCGAGGCGGCGGCCGGGTGCAGCATACCGGCTTCGCCATGCCGGCGCAGCAGAATGCTCTCGAGGAGGCTGCTGGTGGCGTCGGGCGCAGCCCACTCGAGGTCGCAGCAGCGCGGCTGCGGGCCCGGCGCCGGCGGGGCCCGGCCGACGGCCAGCGCCGGCAAGGCGGGCGGCGACGCAGCGCGGCCCTGGCCGCCGGCCGAAGTTGGCACCAGCGGCACGCGCAGCAAGTGCAGGGCAGGTGGCGGCCGCTCGGCTAGGCACGACCTACTCCGCCGCCGCTCGACCGCGTTCTCCGACTTGATGTGGTACGCCTTGGACATCTTGATCTTGACCTTGCGGAACTCGTTGCGTGAGACGTCGGCGTGCTGCCGTTTTGCCGGCCGGCTAAAGTCCAGCACGTAGTTGTCGCCCTCTTCGTCGCTGCTGGCAGCTTGTGGCGGCGAGTCCGTCTGGCAGTCGTGACTCTGGTAGCCTTCGTCTGAGCGTCCCGGAGAGCCGGGCGTGGCCACCTGCGCGGCCGACGTCATCGGCTTCAGCTCTGGCTTCACGGTCACCTCCGACTCATGCTGTGCTGTCACGCACGACTCCGGCTCTTGCTTTGGCTTCAACACCCCCGGCGCGGCCAGGCGGTTCTTTCTAGCGCGGTCCTCTGTTGGAGTCAGATATAAGTACTTGAGCTTTTAGATGCTTCAGAGACCCGCAAACGAATAATACTGCAAGCCTTCTTATTCCACGATATTGCTGTATTGTAAACTGACTTCTGCGGTATTACTGTATTGCAAGCCTGTTTATTCTACGTTATTACTTGTCACGATGTAGGGAAATCATGCTTTCAACCATAGAGTGCTTAGGAAAATCACGTTAACGGTCACATTACGAAAAATCCAAGGTGCACAGTTCTGCTCGCACAGCTTGTTGCACTTAATGACTTAAAAGCTGATCTTAAAACTTGTGCTGATTTTCTCGGCTGGCAAAGCGTGCTGACATGGTCGCAGTGGGCAGCAAACGGCGTATTTGATGGATGTAACCACGCCATGTTGCCGTCGTCAATCTCTTTCTGACGCTATTCTAAAGACAATCAAAGCTAAACAATAGGTCAATTTGGCCAGAAGCTAGCAGGGTCTAGATCCCACCAACCCCAGTAATGTTGACGCCCATGGCAGCTATCAGACAGCAATTATAGCAGCTCAAAGACTCCGTAAAGGCAAATGGCGTAATTGTTTCACAGGCAAAACAAGCAATAACAAACAAGACACAACAAACGAATGCTGGAACCGAAACACACTTATCATCAATTTGGTCATTAACCAAGTGCACCGCACCCGATGGGTCTAACCGGCAACTTACGGGTTTCTGTCAGCAGAAGAGAACCAGACATTGGGTACTTCACTCGCTTGGCGAAGTCCTGGCAATACCAGACGGTAAGCTCTTCTCCCGGATTGACGTCCCTGGTAGTGTAAAAGTAAATGCTTCCCTAAAGAAGAACAGGCAAATTTATAATGCAAGTTTTGCGGGGACAGAAAACAGACAAACAAGCGACAAACACACACGCACGCACACGCGCACGCAAACGCACACGTGACGTCTAATGCGCACGGACGAGGAGACGCCTTTAATAAACACATGCAGATCAGCACACCAAGACAAGTCCTTCCAAAGAGGCTTATCGAGAATATAGTCGTCTTAGAGCGACGTCTTTAACGGCGACAACTCATGGTGCTCGAATCTCGCCACATTAGGGAGATCACTCCGTCACTTAATTAACAGATGAAGTCATCTGCCTCTTTCACACGGGGGTGAGAAACAGAAGAAATACGATAGGAAGGCAGTACGATGGTGGCTTGTTCTGGACTGTCCTGTTGTTTTTTTTGTCGCTTTAGTTATAACTATTCCAGTCATCTGCCTCTTTCACATGGGGGTGAGAAACACAAGAAATACGATAGGAAGGCAGAAAGATGGTGGCTTGTTCTGGACTATCCTGTTTTTTTTGTCGTTTTAGTTATAACTATTCCGAGTCGCCAAACTGACCGAAAAATGCTACGTATTTGAGGGTGATTAGTAGAATCATTTCAGTAGAATGCACCTTAAAAACCTTGCGTCCTTTTTAGTGCAATGCATTGAAAAATGCCCTCGAGAACTGATCACTGAAAGTTCTCTCGCAAGGATGCGGCAAACTATTTTGGTAGTCTGAAATGTTGATCTGACATAGACAGAAAAAGACCACTAAAACCGAAAACGCTATGGCGTCTCAGAAGAAATATATACCAATATATATATATATATATATATATATATATATATATATATATACGCATATATGCCTGGCCAACTGAAAAACTGGCAGGAACAGCGCACCAATTTCTTCGTCACGGATCACATTTTGCGACGAGGGCGTAATTCACAAAGACCATGCTTGGTACAACGACGTTGGGTGAGCAGTTCATGCATAAGCCGATTTGCGGGGACGGAAGGCAGACCAGGCTATTCGTGTTCGCGTTCCAGCTAGCTTGGACGTGGCATCGCCCAAGCTGGGGAGTGATGTCACCTAGGCCGAGGCGTGACGTCACCCAAGCTGGGGCATGAAGTCACCCAAGCTGGGGCATGACGTCACTCAGGCCGGGGCGTGGCATCAACCATGCTGGCGCGTGACATTTCCCAAGCTGGGGCGTGACGTCATCGCGACTCAGGAAGGCCGTTGTCACAAGTGGATTCCCATCCCCCCCCCCCCCCCCCCCCATCTCCATCCATCTCACTAATAAGGCTCCAAATATAAAATGTCAGGAGGAATCAGTCCGAAGCCGAATAAATGTTACGCTCAAAAACGTATAAAACCTGCAGCAAGGGCGGGGGCAGATCTCAGTATGACACACGCAGGGGGTGAACAGCACGCAATGTCAACGCTGCGTGCCATCGTGCCGACAGCACCACACGAGCCTCCTCGCCCCTGGCCCCACCATGCTGGCATCCAGACGAACCTCGTGCTGGCAGGCGACTAGGTTCTGAGCGTCGGCCGAGAAGGCAGGGTTGACAAAGCGCATCCAATTAGAGCGTCGCGGGTCGGCGGCGTTGATCACGTGGTACTGGCCGTCGGCGTCATACACCTGGGTCCGGGGACACGACGTCATACACCCGCGTCCAGGGACACGGCGTCATACACCTAGGGTCGAGGACACGGTGTCATACGCCTAAGGCCGATGACACGGCGCCAGGGGAGGTGTGACATACAGGTTTGGCAGACAGAACAAAGATATGACCCTCTTGAGTGGCGGTGTGTGCATCTGATGTACGCATTTGTGATGCTCGCAAGTCGGCGTCGACTCGTTGGGCAGTTGTGGGGACATACGTCCAATATACAACTACGCTAGGCATGCAAGCATCCAGAAGAAGTCAACAGCGGCCAGCCTCTTTCCGCAGGCGTTCGTGAGCAGACTAAATCAGACGGTGTGCACTTCTGTCCACACTCCTTCAACTTTAAACGTCTCAACACCCGGTAGGTGCTTAGAAGACTGTAACAGCTAGCCGGAGATGGCATGGATGACAAAGTGACACGGCGAAATGTTCCACTGAATGGCAGTTTGATCACTACGGAAGATGCAATCAGGCATGGCCATCGAAATGCACACGTATTTGGCCCGCTTAGTGCGCCATGACCATCGAAATGTACACCTATTTGGCACACTTAGTGCACCATGACCATTGAAATGCACACCTATTTGGCACACTTAGTGCACCATGACCATCGAAATGCACACCTATTTGGCACACTTAGTGAACCATGACCATCGAAATGCACACGTATTTGACACACTTAGTGCAGCATGCTGCGTCGAATCAGTGGAACGTGGAATTTCAGTGGGGCTGTAGAACTTCACTTCACTTCACTTGCAACGCCGCCAATGCACCGTCGTGAAGTATGAGTTATATCGCAGCGCGGTCAGTGTTCCAGGCAAACGCACATTGCTGACAGCATGCACGGCTTCTACACCGACCATCTATTATCACCTCTTTAAATGAGAACTTCTCCCACATGTCAGGATAGCACCGCTCCCAGAGATCCTACACAGCAGAGAGACAGCTTCTGAGATGATAAAATTCCAGTAACCTCCTACTTCTGCATTATGTTTCTAATCGCAGCACAACTGATGAAAACGCTGACACTGTGCTTCGCTATGTGTCACATACACAAAAGGACAAACAGTTGGCAAGGATGAACAGCTTAAACAATTGACGGTAGTCCACTGCGCCCTTACTGCATGGACACGAATTCGAGAACGTTAGCTAAAGTTCGCAGTGCTTAAGAAGCTCCCGCACCGTTCAGCATGAACTATCATCCCCAAACCCAGCACCCTTCCTTATCAATCAATCAATCGTCAATCACCATAAACCCTAGGATTACAAAATTACAGGAATCTCATATTTTTGCATTACTTGCGCAGCACATACCCTTCGTAAACGATCACTCCACATGGAAAACCAATTGCTTACCCTCCAGAAGTGTTTTTTCTCGGCATCGGGCAGCACTTGGTAGACCTGCAGCACCTCCCCCACCAGAGGTCCGAACCGCGTGCCCTTAGGCAGTTTGATCTTGGCGCCTACCCCTGACTCCTGGGGACCGAGGACTCTTAATTGCTGAGGGCTGGGACCACGTCCAGGGGCGGACTCCCCATGCGAAGACATGCCGTCCAGAAAGTGCGCGTCCCGCAAAGGGTAGAGCGTCAAAGCGTCCCGCAGTGGGTATAGCTTAGACCTGCGCTACGGTAACGGGTTGAGCTGACAGACCCCGCGCAAGGCCGCTCAGCAGGTCCAGCAGTGGGTAGAGCTTAGACCTGCGCTGCCGCAGACTCAACCGCGGTAAGTCTAACGATTTCATTACGGTCAACTGGACACAAATAGTGTGCTCTCCAATTTGGCTGGACTCCTTAAAAGGACGTGGTAGACTCCGTTGGATTAACTCTTGATATCTAGTGCGAGCGGAGCAAGACTTCGAAGATCACCCATCATCAACAACAGTAGAGGGAGAGGCTTATCACCGATAGTACGTGTGTGAGCAGTGCAATGTAATAGACCTAGCTACACGGATACAGCAGCACTAAAGGGCTGACAGCAGAGCGAGTTAAAATGCTAAAGACACCGTACTCGGAAGCCCAGTGTCTCTTCGTCAGTCACGCGGCGGTGCTAGCGATGTTCCGGTGGTTTGACTCTGGTTTGTCCCGGGCTTTTCTGTGCAGCTTTGCAGTGTATCGGCCACCCCTGTTGACTAATACCATAGTGTGTTGTTTACCACCATCTGTCAATTGCTATTTGGCATGAATGTGGAGCCCCACCGGTGCACTCTTCAGTTACCCTGTTTACGTGGGCAACCAAAATCTGGATCCAGCGTGCGATCGGCCCGAGTCAGCATCCGAACAGCATCAGAGCTGAGTCGGCATCTGAACAGCATCAGAGCTGAGTCAGTATCTGAACAGCATTAGAGCTGAGTCATCATCTGAATAGCATCGGAGCTGAGTCAGCATCTAAACTGCATCAGGGCTGAATCAGCATCTGAACAGCATCATAGCTGAGCCAGTATCTGAATAGCATCATAGCTGAGTCAGCATCTGAACAGCATCAGGGCTGAATCAGCATCTAGGCAGCATCAGAGCTCAGAGTCAGCATCTGGGCAGCACCAGAGCCTGAGCCGACCGAATGGTGGGCCCGGATTTCACCTGCCCGTGTAAACAGGGTAACTGATCGCCTTCTGTCGACAAAAGCAGCGCAAAGCGCAGGTCTCAGCGCAACCTCAATGGTGTCCACATCTATTTACGCACCATCCAGGTAACTCTCCACGTGGTCGAAAAAGTTCAATCTTATGAGTGCATTTCGCACCTCACAGGAGTTTCCATGGTCCGCGTGCCTTGCAAGGGGCCCCAATAGCCCCGGGCCGGCGGCCATTCACACCTACCCCCTCTCGGAATGTGAGGTTTGTGGGCAGCGAGGCGGCGGCGCGGTCCCTGGCGTGCTGGCCGGTCGGCGAGTCGCGCACCACAAGCACGGCGCACCGGTCAATCTCGTGCTCCCGCAGGCTGTCAACCGTAGTGTCGACGGTCTCGCCGTCAGGCGGCGGCATCCTGTGGAGCGCAGAGGTCACTCAGGTCGGCGCCGCGGGGCACGACGGCTGACGGCCACGAGTAGCTGCACATGACCGGGACACGCCGCGCGAGCGGTTTCGGCTGGATGCGAGCGGGCGTCAGTCACGCAGCGGAGACTGCACACACGAGGCCGATCAAATGTGATGTTCATTCACACCTCAAGCTGTTCATTCTACATACATATTTCAACATGCTACAGGAGCCATCGCACACATGTATATATATATATATATATATATATATATATATATATATATATATATATATATATATATATATATGTGTGTGTGTGTGTGTGTGTGTGTGTGTGTGTGTGTGTGTGTGTGTGTGTGTGTGTGTGTGTGTGTGTGTGTGTGTGTGTGTGTACAGACACATTGATATAGTCATCGCAGCCCAACAAGCCGAGCAGTCAATGAATCCATGCATGTGAGAAACCAATGTAACGTTGACTACAGCCCCCAGAACATCAGAAATATATATCACCCCTATATACGGAAGACAGTGGATATTGGCCTGGACACTGTTCGATGTACCTAGACACATCATTGGCCTGTACATGGAGTATTTGGTACATGGTGCGTGGTAGCATGCAGCATAGTCTCATGGGCATCTCCTAGCCATATTCATATGTCATATGCCATAGTCATATGCCATAGCCACAGCTCTGAAACCAGCTAGCACGCCCAGCGCCGTGCGACCCAGAGGGTTGCGAGCATTCGGCCAGAAAGCGGGCAATGCTGCATTTTAACGATTTGCGGCCAGTAATCCCGCGGGGAGTCTGAATGTAAGATGCAAAGCCATGAAACTAACTAGGCAGGTAACGCAATCAGTGCAACCAGCATGCACGTCAAAGGTGTTTAATGTCGAGACGTTGAGTCGTGGTTATCGCCGACGGGAAATACCTCCAGAGCGCGGTTAGAGCCGGAGAAAAATGCACGTCGTCAAATCATCTGTCCAATTTCACTCCTCCGATGAAGAAATGCCTGCACTTCACACCACGGCCAAAGGATTTCATAGCGCGGAGGAGAAACACCGGCCGATGCACCTGATAAGTACTGACGGTCGTTTTAGGATGGCTGGAAGCACAAAAACCGCAAGCCTTTGGACAAGTTTGTATGTTCTATACCTTGCTGAGCACAATGCGTACCGATTAAGAAACGCCATGACAGATGACACAGAGCACTGAGTCCGTCACCCCAGCCACGTAGCCTCACATAGTACAGCATTCATTCATTGCTTGACAAGCTGCATAAGCATGCCTACATATGCTGAACATATACGGACGGAATGAGCGCCGCCGTCGCGGTACGCCCCGATAAAGGCTTTGCTGCTGCTGTAGCATGTACTGTACAGGAAAGCTGGCGCGGCGGCACTCCCATCGGCACACCATGCGTCTACCGCCGGCGTACCGCTGGCGGCAGCTGCATACGCATATGCAGCATGCGCGTCCGTGTGGGGGTCAGTTTGCCCTCCCCCCCCCCGGAGGTTTCGCAAAATAACGTCCGAACGGCGATGCGTAGCCGTCGCAGACCTTGCATAGCGGTAGGCAATTGCATAGTCAATTGCTTGGTGTCAAACAATTCGATTTGCCTTGTAAGGCTGCTGACGTATGACAGGTCAAAGTCAGGTCATAGCTGTCAGCGAAGGTAATTTATAAGAAAATGGTTCACTTTGGTGCGACAATGGAGTGCTAGATGAAGCCGCACATATCTGATATATTTTCTTACGCAACAAAACAATCGCATTTATGATAACAGTATACTTTATTAACCTAGGGTCAGGTATGACAGTCGGACTGAGGTCTAAGACAACCTGCTTTTTACTCAAGAGCTTTCTGTGTGGAACAGTTTCTGATGTTTATCTGAAGTTATGCAGTTTGAACTAATAGCCTTATCCCTCGTAGAAAAACCAGCAGAATCGACAGGCCGATATATTGCATGGCCTGGTCAGAAATAACACCTGTCTGTCTATTCTCCCGGGTATTGTACGAGGAACAAGGCTACGATTATTGTCTTATTTATATGCATAATTTTTCTAGCAAATATGCTTAACCTAAATAGCAGGGACCGTAACGTACATCCTCCATGGACTTTTTAAACGCTAGAGTAGGTCACTAACCTAAAAAGACCCAGATCAACCTCTTGTTTTAGGAACATATCGCCTGGCATAATCATTGACGCTCGTTCAAATGCAAAAAATCTGAAAAACCTAATGGGATTTTGGCCACTGTGACCTCCTCAAGATTATGGATGGATGAATGGTTGATGGGTTATTGTTTGACTTGATTTGATTTGATATTGACACTGATATTGATGTTGATTGATGGATGGGTAACTAAAAATGATGGATGGCCCGGTTGCTCACTGCCGTGGCTACTCCCTTCCGGAATAGGCTGATAACTTTCTCCCGCGATCAAATTTTCTCTTGCGTAAGCAAATTGGACCGAGAGAGAGAGAGAGAGAGAGAGAGAGAGAGGTGAGGAGAGAGGTCTAGAGAGAGAGGAAGAGAGAGAGATAGGAGAGAGAGAAGAGAGGAGAGAGCGAGAGAGAGAGAGAGATAGAGAGAAGAGAGAGAGAGGATAGAGGAGGGGATGAGAGAGAAGAGAGAGAGAGAGAGCGTCGAGAGTGGTGGAGGGTGCGTGTTGTGTGTGTGGGTGTGGAGTGAGTGGGTGTGTGGTGTGTGTGTGGAGTGTGAGTGGGTGTGTGCTTGGTGTGCGTGTGTGTGCGTGTGGCGTGTGTGGTGTCTGTTGTGCGTGTGGTGTTGCGTGCGTGGCGTGGTTGCGTGTGCGTGCGTGCGTGTGCGTGTGACGTGTGCGTGTGTGCGGTGTGCGTGTGCGTGTGTGCGTGTGCGTGTGCGTGTGCGTGTGTGTGTGCGTGTCGTGCGTGTGCGTGTGCGTGTGCGTGGCGTGGTGTGCGTGTGCGTGTGCGTGTGCGTGCGTGTGGTGCGTGTGCGTGTGTGTGTGTGTGTGTGTGGTGTGTGTGTGTGTGTGTGTGTGTGTGTGTGTGTGTGTGTGTGTGTGTGTGTGGTGTGTGTGTGTGTGTGTGTGTGTGTGTGTGTGTGTGTGTGCACGAGGTCTGGCATCGCAGAACAGACATTTGACGAAAAATATGCCCTCAACGTTTTACACCGATGTAAGTTGAAGTCAAACTCTAGGCCTGTTGCCAGTAAGGGGTCACTGGATCCGTCATTTTGGCAAAATGGAGGAGCGTAAGCAGGGAAACATTAACTACATATATCCTGTGAGCGTACTGGATAATGAAGAAAGGGAAACCCTAACGCCTGGAGATCGTATCAATGATGTTGAATGCACTCCGAAATAATGCAAACACAGATCATCCATAAAGCGCAACAGGTCTTCATATGCGTTTTCAGGGAGTTAAGGCCGTCGCTTAGTGAAGAAAGACCACAAGCACGTGTTTGTGACGCACTAAGCGGTACGCAGCCCAGCTATTCCAGAGATCTGGCTGAAAGGTGATCGTTATTGCCGTCGGCACGCGGCGCTCCACGTGCTCGCGCGCCGCCAGCAGCCCGGTCACATGGCCGAGCACGCCGCCGCGCGAGGCGGATCTTATGCAACGCTTTGCAAATCCATCGGTGGTGGACGTCAGGGACGTCATGAGCGGATGACGTCAGGGGGCGGGGATGTTCGGAAGTTCTATTCTGCTCCGTGGGGTCCAATGTGACAATGTGGGAGGCCAAGCTTTAGCGCAGTGGGATCACCGTTGCCGCTAGATTAGCACGTCTCCACTAGCGATGCTGCTTGTAGACCCTGTGTCGTGCTGGAGCTTGCGGCTGCTACGCCCATTGCACCCTTAACCCTTGCCGTGATAGGGGGAGAGGGGTTCGATGCGACACACCCTAAGGTTTTTTTTTGGGGGGGGGATACCTGTCCAGGATATGATGCATTCGTGTCCAAGTTTTGAGCAGCCTGTATGGCATTCATTGCATGTTTTGTGCACCAAAAGATGTCTCTCTGGCATTTCTGGTTTCGGAGCAGTGGCGGTTTTTGAGGAGCGCTGCGCAGTGATCTACGGTCGGCGCGGCCGGCGGGCGGCGACCACCGATGCCGCAGAATGCTGCAGCCAACGTTGCAATGACGTCCGCGGCGGGCCGAAAGTTACATTAAAGGGAGTATCTTACCTTTGTTATACTTTTTACCTTTTGCTTCACCAAACGCGTTTGGTTAGATTAATGATGACAGTTCTCTCGAAATCCTTCTGAATTGCTTAGAATTCTTATTTGAAGTAGTCGACCTTGCAGGAGAAATCGCATTTGGCTCCCTGCTCACTATTATGAACATAATGTATTTCATTTGTCATGCTTTTCAAGCGTGTCTGTTCTGATTTGCAACAAGACATTAATGTCTAAAAATGTTTGTGTATCAAATGCCACGAAAGCTTGAACCACTTTGTATGGACAGAAAACACACGCACATGAGGCTATTGTCCAGCAAAGTCAACGAAACGCTACAGAACGGCTTTCATATCTCATTTACGGAGTTTACCGCAATGGCCCTTATCGAGGCGCACTGCTTTTGGGAACGGGAGCATTACGTGATCCATGTGACGCACTGATTCAAACTTCAACCAATGCGCTTCTCGGTAACAGTCTGTTGTACCCTGGGCCAATCACAAACGTTCTTTTATTTGAACTAGTGGAGATGCATACGGCCGTCGTCATGAAGACAGTGGTCGTGACTGCAGGGTAAGGGTGTCCTGCCGTTACAGAGCGTTGAAGGCGGACTTTGGACTCGAAAAATAATCAAATGGAATGTTTCACTTTTGAAGATGTTAAAGGCGAGCAATATGAGGAGATAGGCTCACTTGTAGCCACTGGTGTACTTTTAAGTGTCTTCTCGCTTCCATAGTTTAGTGTTTTCTCGTTTCCATAGTTTCCATTGTTCCACGTTTCCAGCCGATAGCATTTGATTTGATGTGCCCCATGTAGACCTCCGCTAATAACATCTAAGTAGTGAGTCA